TAAATTAGCTGCAAGCAATACATTTACACTGTCTACCATTCCAGGATGAGACTTAGCAAAATTTGAACAATTTCTAAAATTGTCAGACAGAGAGTTCCACAAAGCAGGTGCAGCATACTAAGATTATTTACCAACAGTTGCAGTTCTAACTTGAGGGATCTGCAATATATTTAAAATTTATAACAGATGTTTTCTTGACAATAAGATCAGACAAAACTGCAGGAGGCATATTATGAAAGATCTTAAAAGTTTCAATAGCCATAGCCATCATCCTTCTTAATTATTTTTAAATTTGGTATATTAATCTTTATCAACATATCTTCGTAAGCAGAATTAAAATCATTTTAGACAAATCTAAGAACTCTTTCCTGCAGTTTTTCCATCTTTTAAGTGTTATTTTCTTAACAGAAATGCCATGATATCGGACAAAAATTAAAGATAGACATATAAAAGTATGAAAGACTGTCAACATATTTGTTTGGTTAAATTTGAATCCTTATTTTTAAAAAGGACTAGGAATCAAATGAAAATGAATGATGCTCACTGATTCATAAAATATATATATTTATCCATCAAACAGTCCTACAGCGATATCTGAACAATTGTCATTCGGTAGAATTATATTCTTTATATTTGTTTACATCCGGTGCATTGGGGTCACGTCAGCTGACTTTTAGTAAGAAAATACAAACTATCTGCAAAATATCGAAACAGCTGGTAAATCAAGTTCATTTTTCTGCATTTTACTCTCTTATATTAATTATCTACCATCGTGACTCTATGTTGTTTTGAGTGATCCTGCAATGCTTTTGTGATGCAAGTCTTTTCGTACCCTAACCAAATCAACCCATGAAAATTCAGAGGCGTTTTTACTAGTAAATACAGTTTTAAAACTATGTTGAATCATCATTATCATCATCTCAAGTTATTGCAACACTCCGCAAGGAGTATACTCGCAATTGGATATGTACATTTGAATATGTTACATTTAATTCATAACAAATCACCTCATTCATTTTTAGACACTTCATCTTTCCTGTCTCACCCCCACCCCCTCTGCAGTCCGACTAATTGTACTGCGTGACGAGATATTGTGCTGGGCAATATCTCGCTGAAATTGTGCTAAGCAATCTGTCCTTTAACAAAAATCATTATGTCAGTTATTACATATAAATAACAAAAAAAGATCATATTTATTTAGAAACTGACAGTACAGAGCTTAATTTATGGAAAATATCCAACAAAAATAGCAGCGCAATAATTTTTTCATGAATTTCAGCAGGGTGTTTCAGCCGATGGTCAGTTCTTACTAAACCCCTTAAATGGAACGAGATGTCAGGAAAACAAATCAACACATTGTAATAACAGACAAAGAATTTTTTCCTGTGCTGTTTTCCACCTGAAATCCAAAGGGCTTACATATTTCACTAACTGAAGCATATTTATATTCATCTTTTGCAGTTCTTACTGAAATAATTACTCCCCTTGAAAATAGTTTAAGCCATCATACTGTATGGGTGTTTTGATGTACCTTGAACTGTACCATCATGTGGAAACAGTAACGGTTTACAGTTAAATCATTACCATTAGAGTCACGACGGACCAAAGCCCAGCTGACCATGATGTTCAAGATCACCAATGACCTTGTGGACATACCAGTCAGCGATTATCCCACCCCTGCCCCGAGCCGCACTAGAAGTGACCACTCCAAGAAGTTCCATCTACCATCCACATCTACATCGTACTACAAGAACTCCTTCTTCCCTCGTACAGCCACAATATGGAACAGCTTACCTGCCTCCGTTGCAGAGGCCCCTGACTTGGTATCCTTCAAGCAGGGGCTATCAGCCCTCACATTCTAAGTCGCCTTATGGGCCCAGCTACAAGTACCCACTAGTGATATCCAAGGCTGTGCCGGCAGCGGCCACCGTAACCGGAGAGGTTTGGGTTGAAGAGGCGAAATATAGCTGGCCATACTTTTTGTCTATATCTCTACCTTTGTACTATCCAACCTCTTCTAACTTTCTATCATTTCTTGTATATTTCTTTTTCTTGACCTAGCACCACCCGTCGCGTCATAATCAAGTGTGATTGCGCCGACGTACAATGTAGATGTAGATAAACTATCAATGTATATTCCAGTACAGTCAACTAACCCATTACTTCATAAGCATTTTGTAAAAATTGCTGTTAAAAGCCTCCTGTTACAAGTTCAAATTACTATGAAACTATAAAGAAATGCTTCAATACTGATCAAACTTGGCACAAATGTTTTGACTTAACCATAGCCTTTGTAACTGCATACTCAATCTTAAATTTCCTTTACCATGGCAATGAGGGGACATCTCAAAATTGACAAAAATCACTATTTTGAATTGATTTTTCCATCAAAACTGATTTCAAAGTGCTGCAACTTCTCAATGGATTAAGATAGAGTCAAGGGCTTTTCAGTGTTGGTTGCACATTACCTTAAGGTCAACCTGAGGCCACTTTTAGCCTCTCAGAAGTCCAAAATTTTCTTGGAGATAAGGGGGATCTGCCGACCCCCTTCAAACCCCAAACAAAAGTGGGCACATCCCCCCACTGGCATCCCCTTGATGTATCTTTTTGAAAGGGGATGGCAGGTGAAAAGATGTCTATAAGAAGTAATGGGTTAAAGAACAAAATTAATAAAGTATGAAAGAGATAAATTTACTTATAAAACCCTGGAATTTCGCCAGCCCTGGAATAAAAGTATCATGTATCTTAGACAAAAGTTCACACACCTTAAAAGACTGGCAAAAAACTGGTATGAAATAAGTAATTTTCATCAGAATCAGGAGGCAAGCTGCTTTAACCCATTACCTGATATACACACCCTTTTAACGCCTTTTTCATCCCCCCTTTTTTTGTTGCCTCAAATGGTGAAAAAATGCCTTATTTAGGCCCCCAACACTTGTTTTTGTTTGAGAAATGTTGTTTAAAAAAGACCACTTTTTCAGCGCAGCCCCCCAACCAAAAGATACGTCAGGGGGTTGCCAGAAGGGGGATGTGCCCCACTTACACAACAATCATGTCCAGACTGTAACTTTGTCATGCATTGAGGGATTTTGAAATAATTTGGCACAAATGTCTATCTTATAACAACATTTTGACGCATCTAGGAACCACGTCCCTTCTTCAAAGGTCAAGGTCACACTTATATTTTGAAGGTTCATGCTATCACAATTAGAGATTACATGGTACAATAATACAAAGAACAGTATTCAGCTATTAGTTACTTTCATTCTCTTTGCTTTTCATAATACTTGATGCTTATGAAACCTTTTCGGGGGCATTCGTCACTTGGTTGACAGCTCTTGTTAACCAGCATAATGTATGGCAAGCTTTTATGTGGTGACCTCAATTGTTTTTGGGTCCCCTTAGCATCAAGGTCAAGGTTAAAAGAATTGTTTCAGGTCAGTTACTAGAGTTTGGAATGAGATATTTTAATCATACAAGATTAGTATAGAGCAGGCTAATGTGCTGACCTCACTTTGGATTGCTTTTGCTCCCTTGGTTCAAACTCTAGATCACTGTCACTAAATATAGAAGAATTGTGAAAGGTCCCTGGTGAATAGCTAGGAATAAGAAATTTGATAACCTAATTCTTGGGCAAAACAACATTTATAACAAAGCAGGCATGTTGAATAATTGCTGTGTCACCTTGATCTAAAAATGACCTTGACCATGAAGGTCAAGTTTTTGAATTTTTCTAAAGTTGCCATAACTCAGTTATTTATGGATGCATTTAATTCATACTTAGACTAAAGGACATTAACAATAAATGTTTTATGTACATTTAACCATCATATTAAAAATTTAAAGTACGGGTATGGCTCTTAACCTTAAAATGACCTTAACTGTCAAGGTCAAATATGGATTTTTTTTTTCAGTTTTCTAGAACTTTCTTATAAATGCACTGATTTATTAATATTTGGACACAACATGTTGAACACGTTGACATATACACCATTTACCATACATTCCCAATTTAAATCTGGTCCATTGTTAGCAACTTGTGTAACTGAATCATGCAACCTGTTATGTGATAGATAAAAAACCTTTAACACTGTATGCAATTTTCTGGTGTTGTTTTTTTTTTAAATATTACATTACATTATAGAGTGATTTCACAAGAAATGTTCATACATTTAGAGTATATGTATAAAATTGACAAAGTCTAGGTCTCCAGCAGGGGTTTGACTCAATGGAAGATAAAGCTATATCTGATGAAATATTTTATAAAATTTAAAGACAGTAAAGTCATGTTATTTTTATATTCATAACCTAATGGTAGTTTCTTGAAATGTGCCTTACACATGTAATGTAATTTAATATGTGTAAATGTAATAGAAAGTCCCAGAACAAAATATTCAACTGCTATTTTAGTAGGTTTAGCGCTGATTTCCACATGCCATACTCAGGTGTTCATTAAATATACTAACAACATTCTTTAAAACCAAGTATTCTGTTATCATTTTAACCACAATTTTAATCAATGATTTTACAAGGCACAGACAGCAAATATATAGCTTTATACACTTTGAACAAATGATTTATGTAAGACTTTTTTAGCCACTGTCTCACTCTATTTTATAATTTATTGAAGTAAGTAAAATAGATAAAAATAAGAGAGGTGTTATCAAGGATATTAAGGTTAAATTTTTACCAGTATATCTATGACACATGAATAGGGATGATACTGATTTGATGACTGTGTGTCAGTTATTAGTACATCAATCAATGTAACTATAACATTCAGTACATACATGTGTATACATGTGATACATGGGGCCACTCAGCATCACACTGTGCCGGTCACTATACTGTCACATTGTTCTGACTGGACAGAAATTCTGTTGAAAATTGTTAAAGTGTTGAGTCACAATTGTTTGAAAACATTGTACTTCAGTTTGAGGAAGTTAAAATACAAAGTTTTGATAAATGTTTAAGATTTTTTTAGGTTACAATGTGGGTCTAACTTGCTGTATATCTATACAGTGTTATCAAGCTCTCAACTTACATCAGTATCAGTGAAACATACAAGAAAGAGAGTTTCATTTTTTGTTCTTTGAATTTTAATATTTGATATCAAACAAGTGAGTCAAGAATTGTTTTTCTTTCTTTGTGTTTCTTCCTCAATTTTGCTATTGCATGGGTATTTTGTTAAATTGACATTAGAATGCTACATTTACTTTGTATGAAGAATATTAAATCTCCATATTGAGAAGTTCTCATTATGAAAATTTTGGAAGTAAAAAGTTTATAGTTACATACAATATACACACACATATTTATATATAATATTATAATGGAGCACTTGTTGTAAATTTGTTATAGGTTAATATCGTGTTAATTAAGGATGTATTATACTATTTTTCTAAATCCATTTATTCTATTTTACATTTCTATATAAAATTCAAATGAATTGTAGAAAATTATTTTAAAATCGAGGGAAGTAATTCCATCATAATTCTATAATGTTACCCATTTGTATTATTAATGAAATTTAATTTTTAACGTCCCTTGCTTGTTTCAGGACTCTATCCAGCAGTGTAAATGATGCCATAATGTCCTGGATATAGATGTGACAATAGAAATACAACAACAACAACAAAGAAGTCAGCTGTATTATTCCAAACAAGCAAATATGGGTAGAAAAGGGCAGCATTTTTTACTACTACTATGGAAGAACTTTCTTATCCTGAAACGTAAACCATTCATAACATTTCTTGAGATTGGAATTCCGACATTCTTCACGTTAATTCTTATCTTCATACGTATGAGGGTAAAGGGAGAAATGAAGGAGAATATAGGATGGCCAGAATGTGCAGATTGGGATACAATTTCCACGAAGTCAGACTTGCCTCGAAATCTTGCTTTTACACCGGATAACAACGTTACAAGAAGAATTTTGGAACGAGCATCAGATACCCTTAATTTTAAAGGTATTACGATGACATTTAAAATATTGCGATGTATTATATATTTCACAGGCAATGAAAATAAGTCATTAAACTATGATAAATACATGTGCTAAATAAAATTTGATTTTGTTAAAAATACTCTGTAATACTACATGTGTTATATAAGGTTTATTGTACAAACACAAAAATATTTTAACCAAAAGGATTTCTCTATATATCAAAGGATAATAGATACTAAGGTAGGTTTGACTAGCAGATAATTTATTGTAACAATTTTTTTTTTCATGCTTGTTGAATGTTAATCATTATTTTGATTTTTTTTTTCTTGTAGATTATGATGAAGAATATTATGATAAGGTTTTAATTTAATGAATGTTTTATCATGGTCTCATGAGTGAAGATCAGCGTCACGTTTTTGACCCTTGTTATTCATGCTTCTAGCCGCTCAACACTTTGAAGTTGATGATTTCATGTGTCAAGATAATGCATTGAGTTATGCATACAAATTAAAAACTCATTGAATTACAAATTACTTCTATTTTACAGGTATAAAAGGATTTGACTCTGAAGAAGAAATGAAGAATTTTCTAATGTTTTCAAACTCTACAAACAATAACACTTACAAATTCCTGGCAGGGGTTGTATTCACTAACCATTTCCATGACGATTTGCTCCCAGATAAAATAGCATACAAATTAAGATTTAGTTCATCCCCTCGAAATGCAGGCAAAGAAGATAATAAGCTGTTTCGAAAAGACACACGTTGGCAAACAGAATTTACATTTCCAATATTTCAGAGAGTCGGTCCAAGAGAACCTTATGATATATGTGGTGGTGATCCAGGTAAAGACCATTATTGCATTATGACCTCACAGATTTCATGTTAGAAAATAATTCTTTAAAATTAAATTATTTATCAACTTTTCTTACATTTGTAAGTTATGTAAAATGAGGTTTGCAGATATGTATATGCTTTCATTAATCATGCACATTTAGTGTATTTTTAATGAAATTTCCATTCACTATGTTCTTTTCATCTGCATTCAAATATATATGTAGTTCAGCTACAATGAAATTAATTACTTCAATAACATATCTAGTTTAGTTTCTTTTATCAATATATCTTATTGTAATAAAGTTAAATTGTTACAACAGTCTTTTATTTCTAGTAAGACATAACAATTTAATTTTCAGGATATGTGAGAGAAGGTTTCCTAGCTGTACAACATGCTGTAAATTTTGCAGTGTTGAGGGAAGTGGGTGGGGTAAACCAGACTGATATTTTAGATAGTGTCAATGTTCATCTGAAACGTCATCCATATCCAGCATTTAATGATGATAATTTTATACTGGTTATACAACAACAGTTTCCAATTATTCTTATGTTGAGTTTTGTTATTGTTTCTCTCGTTGTTGTGAAGGAAATAGTACATGAGAAGGAGAGAAAACTGAAGGTAAAAAATATAGCAGCCTAATGTAGATATAACTGACAGGTTAGAATAACTTCATAAATGTTTACTTATTAAATGAAGAAACACAATTCTGGTTCACAGTGACTGTTTCTTTTTGATTCAGTGATGCTATTTAATGAAAGGGACTTAAGTCTAATTTCTTATGATATAAAGCAAACATATCAAATATGTAAGTTCATTGGTGTAGTAGCAACAGAGATTTTAGCATGACTTTTGAAAGAATAGTAAGGCTATTCTACTCATCCGGGCCTCAGTGTTAGTGACAATGTAACACTTTACTTACAACTTAGTGCTAGGGGGCGTGGACGGTAACTTGCACTTTTCAGTACCGTCCATGAACAGGCTCAATCAAAACGAGCCTGCAACATTTTCAATTTTGCCGTGCTGGGCTTTCTTTAGGGATTCTGAATTTATCTATTTTATGATCACATCCGTGTTATTTGTGCCGTGTGGCGGCTGTAAAAAGTCTCCCCGTACATTTAATCAATGATGTTATATTTTCGATCCTTGAAGATCGTTCAGCACGACATTATTGTTGTGCTTGTGGTATTTTTAGTTTTAACTTTTCGGCATTATCTAGTTGGGTGGTTCCAATATTCCTACTTGAATAATGTTGAATCACCCTTAGGATATGTGGCCTGCTTTTTGAATTTGTCTTTTGGCAGCTTATCTGATATACAGGCTTCATAACCTTTGATCCCCTTTCAAAATTCCATGGTATTTAGCTCCGCCCATTTTTTACTCGTTTAGAGCACACGCATTGTTTTATTTGGGGACCATACGCCGCTTTTCATGGAATGGCGGCACGACATTGTCACATTAAAGGTTCCATGATGAACACATCTGCAGATGTTTCTAAATTCAAAATATCACCATTTCCAATTCTGCTTAAGCCGGGGCGTGGACGGTAACTTGAACTTTCCAATACCGCCCATGAACAGGCTCTATCAAACCGAGTCTGCAGCATTTTCAATTTTGCCGTGCTGGGCTTTCTTTAGGGATTTTGAATTTATCTAATGTATGTTATATCTCACTGGACTTTAAAGATACTGTACACATTTATTTGGGATTAAAATGGGCTGTCACTATCAAGGCCCATTACTCTAAAATTATTTTTGACAGAATAATGACCCTTTATGAACAAAGAAAAATTCCATGTTAAAGTTTCCTCATGCCATTGACTTTTCAAATTTAATGAAGGTTTTCATTTGAAACTTAACGCCCACCATCATGATCATAATTGGAGGTCATTGTGCAAGGCCCATGACTTTGACTTAATGCTTGAAAAATGCTCCTTTTGTAAGCTTAGAAAATTCTTGGTTAAAGTTTTTTTGCAACATCAGTCTTCCAAACAACAGAAAGTATTCATTTTAAACTTAAGACATGTCTTTCTGACCATAATTTGATATCACTGTCCAAAGCCCTACCTCTCTCATGGATTTTGACTGAATCATAGTCCTTTGTGAACTTAGAAAATTCTTGGATTCAGTTTTACATGCAATATCAATGTTCAAAACTACTGAAGGTATCCATTTGAAACATAATACATGTCAGCTGTATCATAATTGGAGGTCACTGTAAAAGGCCCCTTAGTCATGGCATGAATTATGCCCCGCCTCTTGGAAGGAAATAGGGGGATATACAAATTGGCTCCATCATTGTGTCTGTCTGTCTGTCTTTGTGTCCATACTACTAAAATGAATAGAGACCATCTAACTGTTAACAGAATAAAAGAGAAGAATAGAGTACATTCTGTAACAGTAGAAGGGGCCAATGGCTCTATTAAACAAAAGAAAATAACAAAAGAAAAGACCCTTTAATCCATTTTGTCACATGTCTCTGTCTGTCACTCCTTATGTCTGTTTGGACCGTCCATAACTTAGTCATTCAGCAACGGATTTTGAAATGGCTTGGCTCATGTCTTTACTATAATAAGATGACATGTCAAGCACAACTCCTAAACCCCTCCAAGCTCAAGGTCACACTTGGAGATCAAAGATCAACATTGCTGGTCCATAACTTTTCCATTCATCAAAGAATTTTGAAATAAGTTGCACAAATATATACCATATTAAGACAAGGTGTAATGCACAACACCACGACACCTACCACAAAGGTTGAGTTCACATTTACAGGTTAAAGGTTAACATGTTCTGTATTTCCAGAGAATATCTCTGTAAGCTTAAGAGAGATTCCAGTGAGAGGAGTGCACTTATGAGAACCATAATCCATCTGAAAGAATTTTCAAATTATATCCTATTATGTACTTACGGTAAAAACTTTATTGTTGCATGTGCAGGTGTAGAATTTATCAAGATTTTTCACTGAAAGTGCGGATCCAAACCTCAAACTTTTGAAATAGTACAATTGTATGCTTCAGGTTAAACTTCCCTTGCTGTGAAGGGAAGGATGCTTATGTTTCTAGCTTTTTTTGAAAATATGGCAAAAGTACTAGATGCTTTAGAGGCTAGTAGCTTCGAAGTCAAAACATGATCATAATAGATTTAGTTTATTAACACAACAAAAAATCTTTATTTTTATTATTTCAGGAATCAATGAAGATGATGGGTGTAGATAATTGGTTACATTGGGCAGCATGGTTTGTCAAGAACTTCCTGTTTTTGCTGGTTACCGTGGCAATTATGACACTATTTCTGTGTATAGACACAAACAAGGGACCAGTGATAGGGAAAACTGATCCATCCATATTGTTTATATTTATAATGATCTATGCGATATCAACTATAGCTTTCTGTTTTGCTAACAGCGTATTCTTTAAGAAAGGTGAGTCTTTCCCATTAGACATTTCAGGTTTACAAAGCTATATGATCATTTACGGACTGCAGAATAAACAAAACAGTCTATTGATAGGTTGTTTTGGATGTACAACAGTTTTTCACTTTTTTCTTTTTTTTTCTTTTTTTTTTAAGTTATTTGCTTTTTAATTTAAATGTATATGAAATGCAATATTGTTGGAGTTCTCTCAATCTTTATGATGGTAAACTTTTTGTAAAAGATAAACTGTGCTTCTCTTAGTTCACAGTACTTAACGCTTTGAAACACAATTAACTTTCAGTAATGATATCAGCTGTAACATATAAGTATTTTCCGCTGTTTGACTTTAAATATTTTCTGCTGTATTATTTTCATTTATTGTATTATATCTGCCATTCATTCATTGCTAACAATGATAATTCAGAGCCTCAGTATTCAGGTGAGCGATATGAGGGCTATCATGGCCATCTTGTACTTAAAATTGTAACAAAAGAACTTTAGAAATGATTCAAAAATGATTACATTTATCAAACAGCAATGTTAACACAATATATAATGTGTACACACTTTAGAGCTAGTTAAGACCTAAAGTTGTTGTGCACTTACATAATTTAAATGTAAAAATAAGTTAACCTAACATGTGGTATTTGACCAGTTCAGTTCACAGTTTGATCAAAGTAAATGTAACAGAAAAAGCATAACAAATGCTTGTATATTCTATCTTACAGCTAACTCTGGTGCTGCTGGCGGAGGTATTTTTTTCTTTGTGACCTACATTCCTTATTTCTTCATACAACCGAGATATGAAACTATGACCTGGACTCAGAAGATACTTACATGTCTACTACCTAACACAGCTATGGCATACGGGGGTCAAATCATTGGGATGTATGAGGGAACAGGTATCTTTATTTTCTATACCCCACCATTTAATGAGGGATGGTGCATGTATTGTTACCAGTGTATGTGTGAGTGCATGCCTATGTGCTTCTAACAACAGTTCTAAGATTTGATGTTAGTCATTACTAGTAAATGACCAGTAGATGACCACTATTGATTTTGAGGTTAGTAGGTCAAAGGTCATAATCACAGTGGCCTTGACCACTATATGAATGTTTAACCAATAATTAGAGAACATTTTACCAACAATCATAAAATTTGGTGTGAAGCTTTGTAATAACTAGAAGATGATATCTGTTGGTTTGTTAAGTCGGAAGTTCAAAAATCAGGGTTATTATGACATTGACCATAACAAATTTGTTTGACCAATAATGAAACAACACTTTTGCTTACAGTCCTAAAATTTGGTGTGTAGGTTGATCTGATTAGTAGATAATCTCTTAGCGGTGGCCTAATGGTTAAGGTGTCTGCCTCTCAACCCAGAGATCATGGGTTCGAGCCCTACTCGGGTCACGACCATGTTTCTCCATAAGACACCAGTACTGGTTGGTTCCAGGAAGCGGACTCGAAAGTTATTAATATAAGTTGCAAGAACTTGTTTCGCAATCGAGCTTAAATAAACATGTTTAAACCAATCTCTTTTCTTTTGAGGTCATTGGGTCAAAGGTCAATGCTATGAGGGCACTGCAAAAAAGCCAATAACTTAAAAAATAATTAGCCTATATTTATGACACTGTATGAGGACTTTGTTCATGTCCTGGAAAAGACTGCTTTTTATTTTGAGGTAATTGGGTCAAGGTCACAGTGATGCTTTAGATATTTGTCTAATCAATGACAAGACTTTCCCTCAGTAATAGATTTGTGAAGCTTAATAATAATAAGACTCTTACTCATTAATGCTTTTTGTTAAGAAATGCATAAGTATGTAGATATGCCACTGTAACAGCATAAAGTGGTGGCATTTGTTTTCATTGGAGACATTTCTAGTTGATATATATATATATTACAGGTTCTGGTGTACAGTGGTCTAATATAATGGACAGTGTAAGCGTGGATGATGACTTTACCTTGTTTCATGTTCTGATCATGCTCATCATAGATATATTTCTATGTGGTATAATCACATGGTATGTGGAAGCAGTGTTTCCCGGAGAATTTGGTATACCACAGAAATGGTACTTTTTTGTAACTGTAAGTAGAAATTTGAATTTGACATATTTGTATTTTCCATGTATGCTTCCATTTTTTAGCTCACCTGTCACAAGGTGACATGGTGAGCTATTGTGATCGTTTTTCGTCTGTCGTCCGTCTGTAAACTTTTACTTTAAACGACATCTCCTCATAAACCGCTAAGCCAATTTCATCCAAACTTCACAGGAATGTTCCTTTGGTAGTCAACTTTAAAAACTGTTCAAAGAATTTAATTCCATGCAGAACTCTGGTTGCCATGGCAACCTAAAGAAAAAACTTATAAAATCTTCTTACAAAAAGCCAAAAGAGCTAGAGCCTAAATATTGGGCATGAAACATTGTTTAGTCAGTGTCTACCAAGTTTGTTCAAATAAATGCCCTGCGGTTAAAATTGGCTCCACCCTGGGGTCATTGATTTTCCTTATTTGTATATAGTAAAAACTTAAAAAATCTTCTTTTAAAAAACCCAAATAGCTAGAGCTTAGATATTTAGCATTAAACATCTTCTAGTTGGTGTCTATCAAGTTTGTTCAAATAAAAGTCCGCGGGTTAAAATTGGCCCGCCCCGGGGCGGGAGGGGGGGAGGGGTTATTAATTGTTTTTCCCTATATGTGTATAGTAAAAACTTTAAAGAATCTTTTTCATAAAAACCCCAAAGAGATAAAGCTTAAATATTTATCATGAAACATCTTCTAATGGGTGCCTACAAAGTTTGTTCAAATAAAAGCCCTTGGGTTAAAATTGGCCTTGCCCCGGGCCTATATACAGGTGAGCGATTTCAGGGCCAACATGGTCCTCTTGTTTTGATTACATTATTATATTTTGAGAATAACTTGTGATTTAGCTAGAATTGTAGTTTTATTTTTATATAATTTTAACATGTACATTTCTGCTTGTATATCTTACATATATACATTGTATTTGGTCTGGCTTTAAGAAAAGCTAGACTGTTTAGATTTTGCTGGTAGAGTGACACCTAAAAACTGCTTTATTTTAGGTAAGGGCAAGTACATGTAGTGTTTTACAAAAGAATTTAATGTTGTTTACTAGATACTAACATGCAGATATGATGAGTATATGATTTAAAGTTGCTTGTCATTACAATTCATTCATGGAAGATAGACAGTATTGTATTTAAATGAATTGAGATTCAGATTGATACAGTAATATGTTTTACGTATGCCACTTTACAGAGTGCATACTGGTTTGGCACAGTACCAGATGACTTTGTACCAGAAGACAAGAATATCTCCTTAGGTCAGGCACCAGAATTTTTTGAAGCTGATCCGGTTGGTATCAGGGCTGGTATTCAAATTAGGAGTTTAAGAAAGGTATTGTCCTGTTATAGTTCATTATACTGCACATATAACACATGGATTCAGCACATATAACACATGCATACAGCACATACAACACAAAGGTACAGCACATACAACACAAAGGTACAGCACATAAAACACATGCATACAGCACATATAAACATGGGTACAGCACATAAAACACATGGGTACAGCACATAAAACACATGGGTACAGCACATAAAACACATGGATACACCACATAAAGCACATGTATACACCACATAAAGCACATGGATACAGCACATATAACACATGGATACGGCACATATAACACATGGGTACATCACTTAAAATACATGGATACACCACATAAAGCACATGGATACAGCACATATAACACATGGATATAGCACATATAACACATGGATACAGCACATATAACACATGGATACAACACATATGACACACAAATTGTTATAAAAAGTTTGCTGTAGTATGACTCTACTCAACATGCCAACAATCTTGCTAAACACTGGCAGCCAAATGTAGCTTTATATCCTTCAATCATGAAAGTATGAAAGCTTTGAAAAAGGAGATATCCTTCAAGAGCATTGAAACAAAATTCAAAGGAGAAAATTTCGGACTTAATTTATTTGTGTATGTTCATTAGGGATAATATTTAGTACAACATCTTTTCAAACCTCCTTGCACCAACTCAATCACTTCGCTATTATTTCAACATAATAAAGAATTGGAATAAGTGATTTTGAAGGACCAGAAAAATAAAACAAAACTGATGAAGTACAGGGCGACTTTTTACAGCTACAACACAGCACTTGATGACTGCAGTTCAGTTGCTAAACATCATTGTTGACATTGTTCATCTGTCATTCTGGACAAGACAATCAATTTTAGGAAAATTTCAAAATATGTACTAATTGATTAACGAACAGTACAGACCAAGATTAATAGGCAGGATGGATGTATTAACATTTAGCAAATTGAAAACTGTATGATAGAATTTCTTTTATTTTTCCATGATCTTAGGATATAAGATAATGTTTTTGAGTAATCTGCCCTTGAATTTGAAAATTTTTCTTTCATATGTCTGTATGTAACTATGGTATAAGCCTTTAAATACATTATTTAACAATAAAGGAGTTCAAAGCAAGAGACACAAAGAAGGTAGCAGTATGTGGAATGACTTTAGACATGTATGAGGGGCAGATTACTGCATTACTTGGTCATAATGGAGCAGGAAAAACAACAACCATGTCCATGCTTACAGGTACTCCCTATTATATTAATGTTTCATATGATTGATTTATTACCATATTTGTTCTCTCTTTTTTTCTGAAAATTTTAAGGTTTATACCATACATCAAATCTTGTAAGCTGTCTTATTAGCAAGTAAATAAATTGTTGATACATTAGCCCTATGCAAATATTATATAAAATACTGTTATGATTAACTATCCAAGTATTATACATGTACACTTATTATCGTATCGTAATGTCAGCCATTTTGTTAAAGGATTTATGCCCCCGTCAAGTGGAACAGCAAGGGTTAATGGTTATGATATACGTAAAGATATCCGCAGTGTAAGAAGTAGTTTAGGACTGTGTCCCCAACATGATGTCTTGTTTGATACACTAACAGTAGAAGAACATCTTATATTCTTTGGAAAAGTAAGTTATAGAAAGAGCTTCGAATCATGATAATATCTGATTTGTTTGAAGGAGCATCAAAAAATGTAAACCTCAGAAAAAACGTAACCAATCTTCAAGCATGTAAACATGAATTCTATATCTTCATCAGCACCTTGTTAGCTCACTAGAACCAAACATTCAGGGTGAGCTATTAGTATAGAAGGGGGTTACTCTGGCGACCGTCCTCCATCATCATGCGTAAAATGCCATCTCTGTAACTGCTGGGCAGATTAACCTCAAATTTGATCTGTAGCATCCTTGTGACAGTCACACTTAAATTTGCTCATGTCATTTCAATTAGCCCCTTTTAGGGGTCATCAGAGCTAAAAATAGAAAAACCTGTAACCATCTTTTTCTACTAAATTAAATGATGGATGATCACCAAACGTTGTCTGTATCATTCTTAGGTAGTGTTTTATCAAGTTTGCTCATATTAATTTGATTGGCCCCTTTCAGGGTCTGCTACAGCTAAAAATAGAAAAACCTTCAGACACCTTCTTCTACTGAACTAATTGATGGATGATCACCAAACTTTGTCTGTAGCATTCTTAGGTAGTCTTTTATTAAGTTTGCTCATATTAATTTGATTCCCCCCTTTTAGGGGCAACTAAAGCTAAGAACAGAAATACCTTTAAACGTTTGCTTCTACAGAACTAATTGATGGATGATCACCAAACTCTGTCTGTAGCATTCTTAGGTAGTCTTTTATTTTTTACTGAAAAACAGTTATTTTTGGTGAGCGACTAAGGGCAATCATGGCCCTCTTGTTTATATCTTAGATCCCATAACCCACTGGAAATTGACAATGGTATGTTAATAACAAAATTGACTTTAATTCAATATGTAAAATGAAAGGAGCACTTGAAAAAATATTTTTATTCAAATTTTCTCTGTATATGAAAACAATTTTTTGGAAACAATTAAACTGAACAAATATGCTTTTTTCTTGTTTGATCAGTTGAAAGGATGTAGCTCAGCAACAATTAAAGCAGAAATAAATAACATGTTAGCATCTGTAGATCTAGAAAACAAAAGACATAGTCAAGCTAAGACGCTGTCTGGCGGAATGAAACGTAAACTCTCTGTTGGAATAGCCCTCATTGGAGGCTCAAAGGTATCTTTTTTTTTGTTTTATAGGGGAGGGAGTGATGTTGTAAATTAATGCATTTGCTGTAAGTATCTGGTTTTATTTCATAGTTTAATATCCTAATTTTGCCTAAACCCGTAATTTATTTTGCCACCGCAGCATCTGTGATGTGTTGGCATATAGCGATTCACTTGTGTGTTTGTGTGTTTGAGGGGTTATCCAAAAATAAGTAGACTTAATTTGTTGCGTAAAATATTATATGTTATTTTGGTTTTGGAGTGATATATGTGGATATATTACCTGCTAAGATTTTATATCACTCGAGCCGTTAGGCGAGGGTGATATTTTATCTTGGCAGGTAATATATCCACATATATCACTCCAAATCCAAAATAATAATTTTATTACCCTTCCTCTGCCGAGTTTAGACGATTTTTTAAAAAATCATTGCTGTTTCAAATGAAACGTCGAAATAAGATTCCCTTAAGGGTACCTCTTCATCACAACATGACGTCACATAAATACATGACGTATTTTTCCCGTACCTAACGAATGTAAACAAGGGAAAAGGAGTAGTCTATTGAAAGCACTTTTTTGTAATTAATATCAAGCTTTCACAAGGTCATATTTGTTTTCAATACTGATGGGAATTTGTATCATTACTCTACTTTGGTAAATATTTATCATTTGAAAGTTAAAAAGTGCTTGTAAATCGGAATTTACACCGCGTAAAACCGAACCATACGCGCATCACCTCAGCGCAAGTTGTTTACAACGTTGGGTACCCAACGGGGAAATTTAATGTGTATATTACCCGTCTGGCTCGGTTATATCAATATCTTTCGGGTGATCAATATCCAATCAAAAAGGCGGAAAAAATCTGGAAGGGTAATAAATTTGAGATATTGATTTAAAATTCTTACACTGCTTAGAAGAATAAATAACAAATAAACACAGAAAATTCATGTTAGTAGCTTCTTATAATACAACAATATTTAATTTTACATAAACACATGTCGGCGACAGCGGCGCACTCCAAAATGTTATTGAAGTCAACGCATATAATAACATACTGTACAACTTGTGCTTCGACGTAAAGCAGTCAAAGACCGTTACTGCTTCTCAAAGTGATGTCCATTACTAAATTACTTATGCCACTTAAACATTTTAAATAAGTCTAATGATCGTGAGAACAGTGACCCTAATTTTTTTTTGCTTAGAATGTTTCTGTAATCATATTCTAACAACATGCCAAGTTTAAGGAAATTCTATTGAACAGTTTTAATTTTGCCTATATGTTTATATGAAAACTCCCGAAAACGCTTTTAATTTTCTTCTAAAAGATTTGTTTAAACCAATTTTTGCTTTTAGAAAAAGTAAAAAAGTCAAGCAATGCCTCGCCCCGCTGTTGCTCTTGTTTAGTTTGTTATTAAGGTGGCTCAAAAGTATTTTTGGCTTACGTGTTAAAGATTTTCTTGTGTAAAATAATACATTTGTTATAAATATCAGGTTAATTTAATAAAACTATTAATGATATTTTTTGCCCTGACTTTGTGTACTGATTTAGGTTGTAATTCTGGATGAACCGTCTTCGGGTATGGACCCTGATGCTAGACGTCACATTTGGTCCGTACTGCAGAAGAATCGCGCGGGGCGTACGATGCTGTTGACTACACACTTCATGGATGAGGCAGACCTTCTTGGTGACAGGATAGCAATTATGGCAGACGGGGCAGTCAAATGCTGCGGAACATCTTTGTTCTTGAAGAACAAATATGGTAATATATGTACAGTCAAATTTATATCAAGAAACTGTGCAAGGGAAATACCCAAAATGGTTTCCTAAAACAACAGGCTCTTAATACAAAGCAGGAGAAAACAAATTTAAACTTATTCATGCTATCTGTCCTTTGAGGTTGAGGAGTTTTCAGCATGTGTAATAATTATACCTCTCCAATATACTAAATAGTTTCCAAAATAAAATCTTTGACTTTCTAATATTTATTGACAAACAGTAAAGATCTATTATGTACATGTCTGATATATTTTTCCAGAATTTAGTTCCTCTATTTTTGAATTATTTATTGATGTTGTCTTCTTCAATTTTCATTGACACTAAAACTTTCATCATTTTTTTATGCTTCCTGTTGTGCATTTTGTAATTAAGAGTAAACAACCTACTTCTTGATTAGAATTACAATGTTTAATTCAAGTAACTGCTGTCAATGCACTAAGTCTAAATCTCAACAGAGCAGTGTTTTACACCTCACGCTGAAGGACTTTGTTTTATCAATTTTTTTTTTTATGCCCCCGGGCATATAGTGATTGAACCATCCGTCCGTCCATCTGTCCTTAGGAGGTTAACCTAGAACGGCAAGTTGGATTTATCTTAAATTTCTTCTAATTGCTTAATTTCTTTAATGATATCTTTGATATTTGGTAGGTGGATATCTTTGATGGTCCTCTAATTTTTTGTGGAGTAAGCGGTCTCTAGGGTCAAGGTCAAGGTCATTGGTTTAAAAAATAAATATAAACATTTTTGCTCATACAGCCTTTATTTTTTATGTGATGTCTTTCATGTTTAATACAAACATGCCAAGGGTGGTCCTCCTTCTTTTGGTGTAGTAAGGGGTCATTTTGGTCAAGGTCAATGTTACCGATGTCAAGGTCACCAATGTTAAAAATAGATTTTTACATTTTTACAGTTGTATTGACCTTATTCTATAGACAAATGTTATTTATAATTGATAGAAACATAAACTTTGATGGAGTTAGTGGTCAGTTGGGTCAAGGTCACCAGTGCTAAAAATAGATTTTTACACATTTGCTCATACAGCCTTTATTAAGTGACAGATATATTTTATATTTGGTAGGAAGATAACTTGCATGGTATTCATCCTTTTGATTGGGGTAGGGATCAGTGGGTCAAGGTCACTTTTGCTAAAAATAGATTTTTACACTTTTGCCCATACAGTTTTTATTTATTGATAGATGTATTTCATATTTGGTAGGAAGATAACTTGCATGGTATTCTTCTTTTGGATGGAGTAAGGGGTCAGTTGGGTCAAGGTCACCAGTGCTAAAAATAGATTTTTTACATTTTTGCCCATACAGCCTTTATTTATTGACAGATGTATTTCATATTTGGTAGGAAGATAACTTACATGGTATTCTTCTTTTGGATAGAGTTAGGGGTCAGTTTGGTTAAGGTCACCAGTGCTAAAAATAGATTTTTACACTTTTGTCCATACAGCCTTTATTTATTGTCAGATGTATTTCATATTTGGTAGGAAGATAACTTATATGGTATTCTTCTTTTGGATAGAGTTAAGGGTCAGTTTGGTTAAGGTCACCAGTGCTCAAAATAGATTTTTACACTTTTGCCCACACAGCCTTAATTTAATGACAGATGTATTTCATAATTGGTAGGAAGATAACTTGCATGAAGTTGAATATTTTTCAACTTCACAAGACAGAGCAATGACTTGGCAACTTATATTTTTCACAATTACAAAATGCCATGACTTTGTCAAGCTATATAAGTTGTGTTTACAATTTTTTGGCATTTTTTTTGTCCATAACTGAGTGAATGTGTAAACATTTTTTGAAATATTGCTACTGACAAGAATTTGAGCCGGGGGCATTTGTGTTTAACAAACATGTTCTTGTTTTTTGATAATTTACATCACGCTTATACTTAAATTAAAAACCATAAGGGAACTTAAGTTTGTCACACATGCATTGTGTTTTGGTTGTTGACACTTGCAATTGCATAATGGGGCATTCTATAAATATACAAAGATATGACGGGGGAAAAGTGGTCACAATTAGCTGACTTATTAGCAGTCTCATTGAGCAAAAGTCCCTTAACACATAATAATATAGAGGGGAAATGATGCAAGGGAGTAGGGGAAGGCTTCGGATTTAAAGTGGTCACTAAAGACAAAAGTTTTTTTTTTATACATTTGTAGCTTTGGAACTTTGTTATACTTCTTTCATAAGTAGATGAACTACACATACATACACATTAAGCTACCATATTGTTTATGATAACGAATAATACATATGTTTATTTTCATACCAGCTATAAGTGTTGTAAAATGTGACACAGCCTAAATAGGTACAAAATTTAATGATTAATTTTTCAATTACAGGAGCTGGTTATCATTTGACGATGGTGAAAGATGAAAACTGTAACATAGATGGTGTTTCTTCGTTAATAAATACACACATTCCGGAGGCGAAACTTGACAGTAATGTAGGGGCAGAATTGTCTTATATTTTACCTCATGAGATGTCACATAAATTTGCCACATTGTTTACAGAGCTAGACAATAAAAAGGATGATCTGGGTGTGACCAGCTACAATGTCTCCACTACCACCATGGAGGAGGTGTTCCTGAGGTATCGCCTTAAAATGATCTTATATTTGAACAAACTATCAATTGAAATTTAAAGTTTTTAGGTCAGGTTCAAATATGGGTCACCTCGGATCAAAAACTAGGTCACACCACCCATATATGGAAAAACCTTGATAACACTCTAGTGGTCAATTTTTGACTCAACCGTCATCAAACTTGTTCAGGATGCTTGTCTAGGTAATTGCTCTGATAAGTATGAACATGGCTATCTTGGATGAAAATCTGGGTTACAGGAGCTAGAAATAGAAAAATCTTGTTCACACTCTAGTGACTACTGTTTTAATCCAACTATCCTGGAAATTGGTCTGAAAATTTGTTTTGATGACTTCTAGGTCAAGTTTGAATATGGGTCACCTCGGGACAAAAATAAAGTCACACTACCCAAATATGGAAAAACCTTGTTAACACTCTAGTGGTCCCATTTTTGCCTCAATCATCATCAGTCTAGTGGTCAGATATTTGCCTCAATTATCATCAAACTTTGTCAGGATGCTTGTCTAGGTTAAATTGCTTGGATGAGTTTGAACATGGGTTATCTCGGATGAAAAACTAGGTCACAGAGTTAAAAATAGAAAAATCACTCTAGTGGCTACTATTTTGATAACAATATCCTTGAAATTGGTCTGAAAGTTTATTTTGATGATATCTAGGTCAAATACGAATATGGGTCACCTGGAGTTAAAAATGTTTGTCTATGTAATTACTCAAACGAGTTGGAACATTGGTCATTTCGGGTGAAAAACTAGGTCACAGGAGCTAAAAATAGAAAAATCTTGTTAGCACTCTAGTGCCAAATATCCAGGAAGTTGGTCTGAAAGTTTGTTTTGATGATTTCTAGATCAAGTTTGAATATGGGTCACTGCGGTCAAAAAACTAGGTCACACCGCCCAAATATGGAAGAACCTTGTTAACACTCTAGGGGTCACATTTTTGACTCAACTGTGATGAAACTTGTTCAGGATGCTTGTCTAGGTAATTGCTCAGATGAGTTTGATGGTTCAGATGAGTGATCTTGGCCCTCTTGTTCAACTTAGAATTTAAATTTTATACACTTATTTGTGGGGATAATAGGACTCTCTTCCGGGCCTTTAACATGGATTTGAAAAAAAAATTGGCCCTTTTGTGAACTTAGAAAATTTTACATTACCATGCCTCTTTTGCTATCAAGCACTACGAATAGTAGATAGTGCTGTCCTACCGACAGCTTATGTTTATATTCTAGTTTTTGGTATAGAGCATAATGTCAAAAGTCAGTAAGATGTTTCAAGAACTACATGTAACAGTAATTTATGGTTTACATTTTAATATCTCAAAAGAGATTCTAAGACAATATTTGTAAAATCTTTAACTGATTTATATCCCACTATCAGCATTACCAAATAAATCTGTAATTATCTTCCTGGTCTAATTTGATTTAATTAATTTGATAATTTGAAAATAAACATGCCGTCATTACACTTGAATTTTAAGTTTGTATTTCTTATATAATTAATGAAATTTAAATGAATAACTAAATGACCTTAAATATTTTCAAAATGATATCTTAACATCATTATATCTTCAAATGATGTCTTCTCAATTTTTATGGGTTTTCTATCATAATAAATGATGCTCTGAGGACCATAATTAGAAACTTCAATCAAGTGATTTGTATCAATCAGAAAGATAAAATCAGTTTAACAAATTTGCCTGCTTCCTTTGTCACCAGAAGAGTGACATTTGTGATACCAATCATTTCAAAAGAAATGTTTTATTATATTTTAGAGTTGGAGAAACAAGTGTTGGCATTAAGGAGGCAAAGCAAGGGAAACAAAGTGTCAGGAAAGGTAAAGGTAGAATACCTTTAAATTCTAATGGAAAAAACACAGGTTAGTTCTCAAATTAGTCGTCCATAGCATTCTGTTGATACTGTGAGAAATCATTCTATTTGAAAAACTTCTTATGTTATGTCTCAGTAAAATTATGTTTTCCATGTTCATGTATATCATATTTACAGTATTGTGTAATTGATGATTAGCATTTCTTTCTCCATTTTTGTGTGTAAACAAATACCTGATAACCAGTTTTAACTTGTGTTGTTTAACTGGGAAATATGACTGTATTTCAGTGCTTTAATTGCATTTAAATACTATGTTTTATACTAAAAATCTATGATTCTTCGGGCATCCTAAATCCTTTCCTGTCCTAAAGTCAACACTGTTTCTGTCACATAGTCTCATCAGATTTTCATTTAGAAAGAAAACATATGGATATTTTCAAACATCAAAGTAAATTTAATATATCTCCAAAATTTCTTCAACATAGTAGATCTACACTTTGATTATTAGAAAATGTAGTGTATAAAACAAGCAACATGCTTATGATGAAAATATAGTTTATTAAACTAGAAATGTAAAAATACTCAGGATAAAAATATAGTGTATTAAACTAGCAATGTAAAAATGCTCAGGATGAAAATAAAATGTATTAAACTAGTAATGTGAAAATGCTTATGATGAAAATATAGTTTATTAAACTAGAAATGTAGAAATGCTCAGGGTGAAAATATAGTGTATTAAACTAGCAATTTAAAAATGCTTAGGGTGAAAATATAGTGTATTAACTTAGGGTGATAATATAGTGTATTAAACTAGCAATGTGAAAATGCTCAGGGTGAAAATATAGTGTATAAAACTAGCAATGTGAAAATGCTTAGGGGGAAAATATTATGTATTAAACTAGCAATGTGAAAATGCTCAGAGTGAAAATATAGTGTATTAAACTAGCAATGTGAAAATGCTTAGGGTGAAATTATAGTGTATAAAACTAGCAATGGGAAGATGCTAAGAGTGAAAACACAGTTGACTCAACTTATAATGAACTTGCTTATAACGAATTATCATTAATAGCAAACTAAATCTGACATCCCCGGCTGATTCCTTCTTAATTTTATATTAAATCAGATCGCTTAATAGGTACTTGTTTAAAACGAATTTTTGACTATAGCGAACTATTTGTTCAAGTCCCAAACGTTGAAAAACATGTCAATTTCTTCGGTTAAAACAAACTGTTATAATTAAAATACCCAGATGCTCTTAATTAAGATCAGTACATGAATGCCGCTATGCAATAATTATTCAATCGAGTGATTGCACATGTAAGAATTAAGATTTTGATAAAATTTTCTCACAACATAATTTCCTACTTGTTACGGAAAATTTGTATTTTGCACCCTCAGTTGACAAATTGCTGTAAATACTTGATAATTACCAAATAACCGATTTTTTGTTTGCAATATTAACCAAACAATAACAAGCAAGTAGTAAAAGAATACAAATGGTAAGCACTTTATGTACTTCATATACATAATACATTGTTCAGTAAAATGACCCGCATTAAATTACCGCTGCCGTAAAATACTGATTATACGGTAATCAGTGACAGGAATGCCTTTCAAATTCAAATTCATTCACCCAAACAAGTCAGCAAGTTGTTGCTATTTCGCTTTTACCAAACTTCGGATATAACAAACGATATTTAAATGTCCCATTGAGTTCATTATAAGCTGGGTCGACAGTATAGTGTATAAAACTAGCAATGTGAAAATGCTCAGGGTGAAAATATAGAGTGTAAAACTAGCAATGTGAAAATGCTTAGGGTGAAAATATAGTGTATAAAACTAGATAATATCATTTTAAAATAATTGTGTTATTTACAGATGAACAGACACCCCTGTTGAAAGGTGGAGCAGAGAACCATACAAGTTATTCTGGAGAGACACGTTACCATAGAAGTGCCAGTTTTACACACAATATAGATAAAAACACAAACCTTGTCCTCTATCTTCAACAATTCTATGCAATGTTCATCAAGCGTGTTCTTCATACATTCAGAAATCAGCGTGTTACAGTATCACAGTTGAGCGTGCCTTTATTCTTCACAATAACTGCTTTGATTGTAATTAAAACTTTCCCTGGACCTCAGGACTCACCAGCTCTTAATCTAACCATTGATTCTTTAGGAGATAATGTTGTTGTTTTCTCTAAAATAGCCAATGCATCAATAGAAAATTCATTCATCAAGTTCTATAAAGAACAGTTTAAGCATGACTTACAAACTGAAACAATTTATGTTAACAATCAGTCAGGATTTATGAAAGATGCAAACATTTCTGATTACTTACTTAAAGTAGGTCATGATGACATAGGAGCATATAACTTAAAGTATCTTGTCGGAGCAAGCATTGAGCCTCGGAGTAATGCAGAAAATGAACAATTCCATTTGACCTCATACTTTAATAATCAGGGTTATCATACTCCAGCTATATCTATCGCAATGGTAGCTAACGCTCTTCTGCAGCTTGTGACCAACAGTTCGTCCAGTACTCTACAAGTCATCAACCATCCTTTACCTAGATCTACCCAAGATAAAATTAACGATGAAGCCATGAAAGATACTATCGGATTTACAATTGCCTTCAACATTGTGTTTGGAATGGCATTTCTAGCCAGCAGTTTTACGCTGTTTCTTATCAAAGAACGTTCAACTAAAGCCAAACATTTGCAGTTCAGTAGTGGCGTTAATTCGTTTACATTCTGGCCAGCAACATTTTGTTGGGATTTGATAAACTATCTTATACCTGTTGTTTGTTTACTAATCACCTTGCGGGCATTTGATATAGATGCGTTTGTAGCAGGGACAAATCTAGCTCATATAGCACTGCTGTTTATCCTGTATGGATTTGCGACGCTGCCATTCATGTACCTGTGGTCATTTTTGTTTACTGTTCCATCAACTGGATATGTCTGGATCACAATGTTCAATGTTTTGTCAGGTAAGGGAAACAGTATTACCCTCGAATATTTCTTATTAATACTTTTCTAGGTTTCACAACAACACTCTGTGGTCGAGGGGTTAGAGTGGATGACTTCTAATCCAGTTACCTCTCGAGTGGGTTCAATCCCCGGGAGATGCTTTGGTAGTTTAGCATGGAGGAAGGTAGTCTAGTACTGGTGTAACTCTCCAGGAACGATGGTTGGAAAACTACCCGCCTATATGACTGAAATACTGTTGGGAAAAGGCATAAAATGAAACAAACAACACTGACATAATTTGCTATTATTTTCAGGAGATAATATACTTTGAGGTTATTGATAAGTCATTTGTATGTCTGAGAAATTACTGTTTAATTAACAATATGTAAGCATAAGGAATATAAAAATAATTGTGCATACTATATACTTGTACTTACATCAAATTACATAATTATACCCCAACACAACAAAGTTGAAAGGGGGTTATACTGGAGTCAGCTTGGCCATCCTGCCGTCTGTCGTTTTTTCATTGTCTGCTCAATTACTTAAGATTCCTTCGACTCACAGTCTTCATATTTGGCATAGTGGTAAGGCATGATGAGTAGATGACCCTTATTGATATTGAGGTCTTTGGGTCAAATGTGAAGGTCACAGGGGCTTTGACTAAAAAGGCTTGTCTGCCAAATAATTTAAAATTCCTTTGACCCACAGTCTTCATATTTGGCATGGAGGTTAGTCATGATTATTAGATTACCATTACTGATTTTTAGCTCACCTGTCACAAAGTGACAGGGTGAGCTTTTGTGATCGCTTTTCGTCCGGCGTCCGGCCGTCGTCCGTCCGTCGTCCGTCCGTCCGTAAACTTTTGCTTTAAATGACATCTCCTCATAAAACACTGAGCCAATTTCATCCAAACTTCACAGGAATGTTCCTTTGGTGGTCACCTTTAAAAATTGTTCAAAGAATTTAATTCCATGCAGAACTCTGGTTGCCATGGCAAAAAAGAAACTTTAAATATCTTCATTTAAAAAACCATAAGAGCTAGAGCTTAGATATTTGGCATGAAACATCTTCTAGTGAGTGTCTACCAAGTTTGTTCAAATAAAAGCCCTGGGGTCAAAATTGGCCCCGCCCAGGGGGGTCATTGATTTTCCCTATATGCATATAGTAAAAACTTAAAAAATCTTCTTTTAAAGAACCCAAAGAGCTATGGCTAAGATATTTAGCATGAAACATGTTCTTATGGGTGTCTACCAAGTTTGATCAAATAAAAGCCCTGGGGTCAAAATTGGCCCCGCCCCTTGGGGTCATTGATTTTCTCTATATGCATATAGTAAAAACTTAAAAAATCTTCTTTTAAAGAACCGTAAGAGCTAGAGCTTAGATATTTGGCATGAAACATCTTCTAGTGAATGTCTACCAAGTTTGTTCAAATAAAAGCCCTGGGGTCAAAATTGACCCCGCCCCAGGGCGTCATAGATTTTCCCTATATGCATATAGTAAAAACTTAAAAAATCTTCTTTTAAAGGACCCAAAGAGCTAGAGCTAAGATATTTAGCATGAAACATCTTCTAATGAGTGTCTACCAAGTTTGTTCAAATAAAAGCCCTGGGGTCAAAATTGGCCCTGCCCAGGGGGGTCATTGATTTTCCCTATATGCATATAGTAAAAACTTAAAAAAATCTTCTTTTAAAGAGCTAGAGCTAAGATATTTAGCATGAAACATGTTCTAATGGGTGTCTACCAAGTATGTTCAAATAAAAGCCCTGGGGTCCAAACTGGCCCCGCCCGGGGGGGGGGGGGGTCATTGATTTTCCTTATATGTGTATAGCAAAAACTTAAAAATCTTCTTTGGAAAAACTCAAATAGCTAGAGTTTAGATATTAAGCATGAAACATCTTTAAGTAAATATCTACAAAGTTTGTTAAAATAAACGCCCGGGGGTCAAAACTGGCCCTGCCCCAGGGGTTTCATTGTTTTTAACTATATGTCTATAGTAAAAACTTTAAAAATCTTCTTTTAAAAAAGCCAATGAGCTAGAACTTAGATGTTTAGCATGAAACATCTTCTTATGGGTGTCTACCAAGTCTGTTCAAATAAACAAATAAAAGCCCTTGGGTAAAAATTGGCCCGGGGGTGGGGGGGCCTATATACAGGTGAGCGACCTCAGGGCCATCATAGCCCTCTTGTTTGGTCTTTAGGTCAAAGGTCAAGGTGACAGGGGCCTTGTCTAATAAAAGCTTGTCTGCCCAATAACCAAGAATCCATTGACCCACAGTCTATTGATTTTGAGGTCACTGGGTCAGAGGTCAAGGTCAAGGGGCATTGACTAAGAAAAGCTTGTCTGCCCAATAACTTAAGAATATTTTGACCCACAGTATTCATATTTGGCATGGAGGTTGATCATGACCATTAGGTGACCCCTTTTGATTTAGAGATTGCTTGGTCAAAAGTCAAGGTCACAGGGGCCTTTAGTTTAAAAGCTTGTCTGCTCAATTGCTTAAGAATACTTTGGTCTTCATATTTGGTATTGTGGTTGATTATGACTAGTAGATAACCCCTATTGATTTTTAGGTGACTGTGTCAAAGGTCTAGGTCACAGGGGCTTTGACTACAATAAGCATGTTGGTTAAAATCCTTACGAATGCCTGTCTAAAGTGTTATTGATTTTGACATTTTTTACATTTGAAGCATATAATTATGTTCTAATATATTCATCAAAAAACACCCCCAGGCAAAGTTGCATGAATAAAGGTATTCAAGTCATGAAGTTTCAGTTTTAAGGTCAGTAGGTCAACGGTAAAGCTCACTTCTATCTTTGCCTGTGTCATAGGGTTAAATTATTTAATAAACGCATTATACACATAAATAATATATACACACTTACACTATCTAAACATACACTATTTATAAAAGTACCTTATCTAATGAATTATATACACGTATCTTCACTAATAACAATAATATAAAATATTCATAATAACATAATATTAAAGAATAATTTAAATACCAAACTAAAGTAAATAGTTATAATGAAGTAGTAGTTTATAGTCAGTGTAGTTAGACCTCCTTATTCTTTCATTCTTTACTGTATTTATTTCAATTAACCTCCTCTCTGTCAATAACAAATCAATGACCAATCACTATCAAGTAATCAATATCCGCCATATTTTAAATACAAATGTAAACAGCCATTTATGCTTTAAAACTATTATCATCCTTTTTGTAGTTATTTATTAATATAATATATTAATTTATCATGTAAATATAAACAAATTCTGTCCAACCAACCCAGCGCTTTCGTTTTCATTACCCATTGAGTAGGCCGGCGACACCACAAAAACATGTAGAATAGATAATTTAGCAATGCACAGGCTTACTACCCTCAGATTTGGCAGGGAGGTTGTTCTTGAGCTCTAAGTGACCACTGTTGATTCTGACAAAGTGGTATGTGGGGGGTATTCACGCCATGACAGTGGCATTTCTAGTTACAAGTACTAATGGAGCCTTATGAATATAGCCTTAGGAATCACTTGAAAAGAATTCATACATCATTTTTCTATCACTCTGATATTTTTTGTTTTACATTAAGAGCTCAAAATCTCATTTTAACATAAGAAATTTTCTTTTAAAGTAAACATCATAATCACATAATAATACCTTTATCTGTTCCCCTATTACAGTTTGATTTGTAGAATTAATGCACCATCATTCATTTATAATAAGAATAAAGTGGTAATGTACAGAAATCATTCACACCCTTTTAATTTACAGGTGTAGCCACAATTCTTGCTGTTGGTATATTGAGTATACCACAACTTAACCTTGAAGATTTATCAAAGACCTTGGAATGGGTGTTTCTGTTAATCCTGCCAAACTACTGTCTAGGACAAGGCCTATCTGACTATTACAAGAACTATGAGTTAAAAGATATTCATGAAGAGTTCTGTGTTAAAAAAGGATACGATAATTTATGCACCTTTGTTCCAAACCCATGTTGTAGAGGTAAGATGTTCTACTGAGATGTTCATATAAAAGTCTACAGATTCTTGTCAACACTATTGTAATTTCATCTTATTATTGTAAGCAGTTTTTTTTTTCATTAACACCACAGTTGCATTACACTTGCATTACACTTTTGACTTGGATACTTAACTCAAGAAAATGCACAGTAACTACAGACTTTCTTGAGAATTTATATTTTGACAAGTAACATGCATAATCAATTAAAAAAATATTGCAATTTCTGGCATGAAAAGTACTTGTAAAACAAAATGATGCTTTTTTCTGACATCTTTATGATGCAAAAAGTAAATTCAAGGGAATTTCTAGATCCTTTATCGAAGGTTCCTGATTTACTGGTGGGTTTTTATTATGCAAATATGAATGTAAATAACATAAGACCAGCTTGAAATAATACTTGGAAAGTACTATGTAAATTACTAAATTGTCACAGGCCCTTGTCACATTAACATAATGCATCATTATCATTAAAAAGTATGTTAAAATAGGTAATTGTTGTTTCTTTTATGATGTTTACATATATATATGATATAACCTTCTCTTGTATAATTACAGATATAACAGGAGACTGTGGTACAGCAGAGTGCCTGGACTACAATTCTAACCCTCTTGGCTGGGAGGCAAGTGGTATAGGCAGAATGTTAGTATTCCTTTGTATCCAGACAGTTGTCTATTTCTTTATCTTATTTCTTGTGGAGTCAGAGGTGGCACATTCATTTCTACAACGTCTGACGAAAAAATCACAAAAGCATGAAGCCTACAAGATGATGTCAACAACAGACGAGTCGTTCATTCAGGAAGACGAGGATGTGGCCAGAGAACGGGCAAGACTGCTCAATACAGACTGGCAGACCCTGTTTAATACAGAAAAACTGGTTTTATCGCAACTAACCAAATACTATGGCTCTAATTTAGTGGTTAACAGGATCAGCGTAGGTATACCACAGGGTGAGTGCTTCGGTCTGCTAGGTGTAAATGGAGCAGGGAAAACAACAACATTTAAAATGCTGACAGGTGATGAGACAGTGTCATCAGGAAATGCATATCTTGATGGACACAGTGTTATATCTCAGATTGCAGAGGTAATATTTAAATTTTATTCTTTATTCACCATAGTACAAAGAAGTGAAAATAATTTGACTGTTCTCTATGTACTTCTCTGATACAGCCATGTAAATTCTTGAATAATTTGCAAGGCTGCCTATAAAAACAGATCATATTTTGGTCATTTTGACCTGTAGTAAAAAAAACAGGTTTTGTAACTACCGTATGTTATTAAAAAAAAGTTTATTAGCTTATGCTCAACACTTTTGATTTCACTTACTGACGTCCGTTGCATTTTCCTTGTCCGGAGCATAACTTGAAGACTAATGGTTGGAGTTCAATATAACTACACACAATGGTCAAGCACATTGAGAGGAAGTGCAGTGCACAAGAACCATAACTCTATCTTGACTAATTACAGAGTTATTGCCCTTTGTTACTTTTCCTTGTCCGGGGCATAACTTGAAAACTACCGGTTGGAATTCAAAACAACTTCATACAATTGTCAAACACAATAAGGGGAAGTGCAGTGCACAAGAACAATAACTCTATCTAAAGTTATTACAGAGTTATTGCCCTTTGTTGCTTTTCCATTGCTTTTTTTTTGTCTGTTGCATTTACCTTGTCCGGAGCATAACTTGAAGACTAATAGTTGGAATTCAATATAACTACATACAATGGTCAAGCACATTGAGAGGAAGTGCAGTGCACAAGAAACATAACTCTATCTTGACTAATTACAGAGTTATTGCCCTTTGTTACTTTTCCTTGTCCGGGGCATAACTTGAAAACTACTGGTTGGAATTCAAAACAACTTCATAAAATTGTCAAACACAATAAGGGGAAGTGCAGTGCACAAGAACCATAACTCTATCTAAAGTAATTACAGAGTTATTGCCCTTTGTTACTTTTCCATTGCTTTTTTTTTTGTCCGGACTATAACTTGAAGACTAATTGTTGGAATTCAATATAACTACATACAATGGTCAAGCACATTGAGAGGAAGTGCAGTGCACAACAACCATAACTCCATCTTGATTAATTACAGAGTTATTGCCCTTTGTTACTTTTCCTTGTCCGGGGCATAACTTGAACACTACTGGTTGGAATTCAAAACAACTTCATACAATTGTCAAACACAATAAGGGAAATTGCAGTGCACAAGAACCATAACTCTATCTAAAGTAATTACAGAGTTATTGCCCTTTGTTACTTTTCCTTTGCTTTCTTTTGTCCGGACCATAACTTGAAGACTAATTGGAATTCATTATAACTTCATACAATGGTCCATGAGAGGAAGTGCAGTGCACAAGAACCATAACTCCATCTTGACTTATTACAGAGTTATTGCCCTTTGTTACTTTTCCATTGCTTTCTTTTGTCCGGACCATAACTTGAAGACTAATTGTTGAAATTCATTATAACTTCATACTATGGTCAAGCACATTGAGAGGAAGTGCAGTGCACAAGAACCATAACTCCATCTTGACTAATTACAGAGTTACTGCCCTTTGTTAATTTTCCTTGTCCAAAGCATGACTTGAAAACTACTGGTTGGGATTCAAAACAACTTCATACAATTGTCAAGCACAATAAGGGGAAGTGCAGTGCACAAGAACCATAACTCCATCTTGACTAATTACAGAGTTTTGCCCTTTGTTGCTTCCCTTTTCCAGAGCATAACTTGAAAACTACTGTTTGGAATTCAGTACAATTTCATACAGTTGTCAAGGACATTGAAAGGAAATGCAGTGCACAAGAGCCATAACTCCATTTTGACAAAATACAGTTACTGCCCTTTTATACTTTTCCTTATCCGGAGCATAACTTAAAACATACTGGTTGGAATTCAAAATAACTTCATACAATGGTCAAGCACAATAAGAGGAAGTGCAGTGCACAAGAACTATAACTCTATCTTCAGTATTTATAGAGTTTTTGCCCTTTGTTCCTTTTCTTTGTCTTTCTGGACTTATTACAGAGTAATTCAATTAAACTTCATCAATGGCCAACCACATTGAAAGGAAATGCAACATACAAGAACCACAACTATCTTTAATTGCCCACAACCATAACTCTATATTTCAATTCTTTTACAAGGTATTCTGTTACTAGTAACATCCTCATTTCCGAAGCAGTCTTGTGGGGGTATTAATCACATTTAGTGATAGTTCTAGTTTTTTTTAATGGTTCCAAGTTACAAAGCTAAAAAGATTCCTTACACACTTTTCTTTCAGGTCAAAATAATTCATCATGTTGTAGATAAAATGGTGCGAATATCTGTTAAAATACTGTATTTGATATCTAGGTGAGACAGAAGCTTGGATATTGTCCGCAGTTTGATGCTCTTATTGATCAAATGACGGGACGCGAGACATTACAGATGTACGCACGTCTACGTGGAATACACAAACACCAGATAAAAGATGTTGTCAATGATTTACTAGATGCCTTGTTACTTATGGAACATGCTGATAAACTTGTCCAGGCTTACAGGTAAATGTATCTATAACATAAGTAGCAACTTAACTTTGAGGGACAGATTTGCATTCTTAAAGTAAATTTATTATTGAAATAAATGTTTCAATCACATAATACTTTAAACACCCTCAGTTATTATCAATATTTCAACTCGTACTTCTGTGAAACTAAGTCTGAAATCTTAATCACAAAAGGTCAAAGGTAATTAAAGTTGTCTGAACTATATGCATTACATGAATATAATATGTATATGCAAAAATTAAAGATTTTTAGTTTAACCCTTTAGCTGCCAGAGGGTTATTGTTTTATTGTTCACCTATTTGCCAGAGGATTTTCTAAGAAATTACTATATAATTATTATTATTTGTTATTTGTATTATAATAATTATATATGTTTCCAAATCTGTTAGTATAATAATAATAATTGTCGATGGTATAATTTTCTTTATATTTATAATTATTTTTATTATTAATTTATTATTATTACTATTATTATTATAGAAACGGCTAAAGCTGTCCATATGGCAAAAACGCCGAAAATATCAGGGACGGCTTAAGCCGTCCCTATGGCAGAGAAAGGGTTAATAGAAATTTGAGTAATTCTGATAATATTTTTATTTACTTCATATTCTTGAATATGTGAAAAAAACCCATATGAAATATAACTTTATTGTTTTAAATCATCTGATCATTTTTCAATTTCATACATAGCACAGGCAATCGGTGCGTGGCTTAGATAGTATACATGTACATGACCATGCCCACTTATTTTTATAAATAAAATATTTTTTTCACTAATGAAATATTTTTTCACTTAAAATGTTTTTAAAACATCTCATTTTCAATGAAACAACAAAGGAAAGATGTTATTAAAAATTTCATCCATATATACTATAATTATAGATTTCTCAGCAACTACTTATCACAGCCTCATGATATTAAGTATACAGCATTAACACGTTGTCCCATACCATGGGTTCCGATGTTAGGTCTGTCGCTCATCCACTTCCTGTTTACCGACTTAGTTAATTAAATGTTCGACATTAATGGTCAATGGTAGGAAATTTTTGTATCATCACAGCCTCATGATATTTGGTATACAAATGCAACCCAGCCAGTTTTGTCTTTGACCCATTTTTATTGAAGTATTATCCAAATTTGTACTTTGTCTGCATTGTTATCATTTTCATGATGTAAACACGCTAAAGGAAGTGTATTTTTTAGCAACCGTTACTTTAAAGAAAAATAAATAGAGGTATTTCTATACACTTGTTTGCATTCCTGTTGATGTTGGCCAAAAATAATTTACATTTGACACTTTTAAATGACATTAAAGAATTTTATAAACCTGGTGCTTGTTTTTAAAAGAAAAATACTTTTAAGATCTCTTCCTTAAGGTGAGGGATAAAGGGCCATCATGGCCCTCATGGCCCTCATATTACACTTTGAACTTTCTCCGGGACATAACTCTGACACTACAAGAGGTATACTTTTCTTTGTCCAAAACCTACTCGAGGAGCATTATTATGTATATAGGCTTCATTATAGATGTATTTAGTATCTATTTCCTAAATAGCTCAGTAGGTAAAGCACAAAACTAATAATCACAATGTCGTGGGTTCAATACCTACTCTTGTCACTATTATTTTTAATAATTTTGTTTATATAATGTTTATATAATGTTTCATGTTCATTTATCTTCTTTCAAAAAAGTTCTTTTCACATGTTCATTCTAAAATTATCTTTCTCTAAGTAGTTTAGTATTCTAAATTGTTCATTAATAGTATATACATATATGATGAATGTTTGTACTTCAAGATGTGTGTGCTAATTTGTGCTATTGTGTAATGTTAATATACTAATTGTGTGCTATTGTACTTATAATATAGTAAAGCTTACATAGTAAGTATATATCAGTAGGTGTATATAATATATCAGTTTAAATTCTGTAATTCTGTGTGGAAAGTGTTTTAAACATATTCAACTGTGAATAGTAAAGATTGGTTAAAGTTAAGAGGTAAACAATAAAAATCAAACTGTAAGTTAAACTTTAAAACAATTGTTAAATTTAAGTCGTAAATAATTGTAAGTAAAAGTTTAATTTCATATTTTTTGTATAATTGTAAATAACTGTTTTTCTTTAATTAAAAATTGTTAAATTTGATGCTGTGTTACTTCTCTGTTGTGTTTAGCTTGGAACAGTATCACCCGGTTCAACCAGCTCTAATGTTTACAGTTGCAATTAGTAACTGATAATAATATTTTTATGAGTCATGAAAAGTGCAGTAATAGGTTAACTCATATTAAATTTCATAGGAGTAAGTCTGTTACTACACTAAAGTGATGATTTTGCAATAATTTATGCAAAATAATGAAAACATAACTACATGACTTCAAATGTATATTTCAGTGGGGGTAATAAACGAAAATTGAGCACAGCTATAGCTCTTGTAGGTAATCCACCAGTTATATTCCTAGACGAACCAACAACCGGAATGGATCCGGTTGCTAGACGATTTCTTTGGGACACACTTTGCAGTATACGTCAATCTGGAAGAACTCTGATCCTGACCTCACATAGGTATTTTATTAATTCCATTCTAATGACAAAAATGTAAATGTTTATTGACAATCTGTTATAAAAACATAACTACAGGACTATTCTGGCATAGTAATAAATAACAACAGTCTGATTCTGGACGACTTTGGAAACTATTTTACACTTTTGGTTTATATCATGTAACATTGTTATTAATTCTCAGACTGGTACCCTACATCCCATTAAAAATTGCTTTCTTATTAGAGACAGTTTGATTTAATGCCCCAGTCTATGACATTCTTTGTTAACATCAATATCACCTTCAGTCAAGGTCATTCTCTATTCGCTGCCATCTGACTGTTGCAAAACGTGGAAATTCTTATTAAATCATAATCATAAATCATAATTATAAAATAATGTATTTACTATCATCTTATAGCATGGAGGAGTGTGAAGCTTTATGTACACGTCTAGCTGTGATGGTGAATGGACAGTTCCGGTGTCTTGGCAGCCCACAGCATTTAAAGAGCCGGTTTGGCGAAGGATACTTCCTCATAGCTAGAGTAGGAGTAGCACCGAATGAACAAATACCGAACCCTCAACCTTTGATGACCTTCATTGAGCAGACGTTCCCAGGCTGTGTACTTATTGACCTTCATCAAGGTTATATCAATTATCACCTGACTGATTCAAATCTAAAATTAGCAGAAATATTTGGCATAATGGAAAATGCAAAAGGAGACTTTTTGATAGAAGATTATTCTGTGAGTCAGACGACTCTAGAACAGGTGTTCTTAAATTTTGCACGCGCTCAGACGCCTCCAAATGAACCAGATCCTGGATGTTGTGGAGGGTTGTGTTTTACATGTGGAGTGTTCAGTAGTTGTTGTAGAAGCAAGGACAGGTCAATGCCGTTAGATTATGATGAAAGTGTCAGCATTAACTCTGGAAATGGGCAACCATCTTCTGGTGATTTAGTAGTAACTGTATGATTCATATGTTAGTTAGGCCTGTTTACTATAGCTAGGTCACTTTTAGTATGACATTTATTTTTTGTTCAAATTATCAATGTATGAATTATGTTAGATTTTTTTATAACCATTTTATTTTAGTTATGGACCATATTTAAAGAGATGGACCATAACATGTTTTTTAAATACTTTATATAATCGCACATACATTTTATTATGTTCATTTTATACACAATTTTTTTTGTAAAAAATTCTATGTTAAATTATGAAAGCTATAAATTCTTATATTAAATTGTTTCTTAAACAATAACTTTTATTGCATGTTAGTCAGAATGTTAAATAAAGTGATTGCCAAGTTTTATTATATTTTACATGGAGGGTATATTTTCATGAATGTTTAAAGCAGCATGCCTCCAGAAAAGTAAATACAAAATTTTAAAATGCATATTTTTATGCGAAAAAGTCGAAAAAAATAAATAAATTTACACAATCCATTTAACAATTTATTTGCTGTTTGCAAACTAATATCTTATCATTGTATTTTCACTATTTTTCACTAACAGAGTTAAGGCTGATTAATTAATATATATATATATATTTTTTATTTTCTTTGCCGTATGCTAGCTTTTAATCACACTAGCTCTAAGAATTAAAATCTGTAAAATTTCATAAAAAATAGCAATAATCTGGAGTTGTGCTGCTTAATAAATGAATGTGTTTTGTTATATATATAAAATAGTCCTCTGTCAAGTGCAATATAGATTTACATAAGATACATACATGTATATATTTAATATCATTGACTGTCTAGGGGTATTCCAGGGGTCAAACTGTGCCTTGAAGCATACACATGATTATATGTGTAGCAAAATAAGTACAATAACATTTTCAGTACAATAAAATTTTCACCAATCTTGAGACCAGGTTTTTGTCTGCCCTCTTATAGTTGGTAGGTAGTTTGATAATGTTGTTTCTGTATGTGCTAATGTCACAAATCATGCTCACTCCATAACTTTATTATTCCATGATAAATAAAGAAAAAAATATTATAGAAGCTATGTTTTCTATCATAACATGATGTGTCATGTCTAAGATAAAGATTTGTAACTTTAGGGTAAGGTCAAGGGTATAGAATTGGAATAATATATTTTTGTGATAAGTCCCTATTCTCTATTTACTGGGGACATAAAAAAAACTGGGTATTTACTGGGGACAAAAATAATTGGCTATTTACAAGGGACAAAAATAACTGGGTATTTACTGGGGACAAAAATAAGAGGGTATTTACTGTGGACAAAAATAAGAGGGTATTTACTGGGGACAAAAACAACTGGGTATTTACTGGGGACAAAAATAAAAGGGTATTTACTGGGGACAAAAATAACTGGGTATTTACTGGGGACAAAAATAATTGGGTATTTACTGGGGACAAAAATAACTGGGTATTTACTGGGGACAAAAATAAGAGGGTATTTACTGGGGACAAAAACAACTGGGTATTTACTGGGGACAAAAATGAAAGGGTATTTACTGGGGACAAAAATAACTGGGTATTTACTGGAGACAAAAATAAGAGGGTATTTACTGGGGACAAAAATAAGAGGGTATTTACTGGGGACAAAAATAACAGGGTATTTACTGGGGACAAAAATAACTGGTTATATTTTTGTCCCAGTGTTTATGTACAAAATTCATAATAGAGAATTGTATGTTAGACAAAAATCATGCAATGGGTATTTATAAACAAGACACATCATATTTGTATGAATATAATGTGTATTTTACTAAAATCTTTTACTAGTTAACAGGTATGAAAATGAATTCTAGACAAGTAATAAGATGTATTAGTTATTATCGATATATCTTCAATATTTGTCATCCAATATGGATATATCATTGATATGTTTTGCACTGAATCAATGATAGTTCCAGTATTTTCATACTAAAATCATAAATGTTTTCAACATGAAGCAAGACAAGCCCATTACAAAAAGCTCAGCAGGGTCAATATCAACAATGTAACAGTATTGTAAGTGACTATAATTATATATTTCTTTATTCAATCTGTATTTATGACAGACAACTCCTACCAATAATCAACAAAACCCTGTTTCCCTTTTCAACTTTTGAGATTGGAGTTATTTCCCTCCTAACTTATGATTGTTGAAAATTATTTTCAAAGGATAGATGCTTCATGCATATTACTGTTTTATATTGCTTATGAAGTAAGACAATACATATTTGAAAATGTTGTATGTAATATATGATCCAGATTTTGTGTTTGTTAATGTGCAATGGTATGAAATAATTTTATTAAGAAAAATTGTGTAAGACCTTTATTTGTACATTTTTATAGAGAATTGCCTGTTGCTAAGATTGTAGTTATGTTATATATATTTAATATTTTTACTTTTATACATTCCTGAACAAATGTGATGCACAGTTAGGTTTTACATTTTATTATTATTAAGATTTAAATTTTGTTATGTTTAGCATTTCAAAGAAATTTAAAGTGTATAAAGCTTTTTATTATATGATCTAAATATAGCTGCAATCTCATTGGTCCAAACAGTAGTCAACAGAACTTTTTATAAAATCATATTCACTGGCTTTATTGGATTTTGTCAAGTCTAAAAAAAGATTGAGACTCATATTAAATTATCATACACCGTAGACTGTTAATTACCCGTGTTAATTAAAAAAAATTGTTGCTTTTTGTTCTTTATGGCATATTTCTCGATTAAAATATCATTATTTCGCTATTGTACTTAAAGGCTACACCGCAATTATGAGTATAAACTTAAATTATTTTTGTATGCGCAGCGTTCGCGTAGTCGTTGCACGCCTAACATGTGCATCTTTTTTCTCGCGCTTCAAAGAGGCAAAATTTTTACATGTATATAAGGTTGTACTTTTTGTGATTTTTTTTTTTTTTTTTAATTTCTTAGCCTATTCATATTATAAAACAATTATTGACTAGTGAGCCATTGAATATGATGTGTTATTCACCGGCAGAAAGTCATATTGACCTCAGCTATCGCCTCGGTCAATATGTCATCTGCCGGATCACATCATATTCAGTGGCTCACTAGTCAATAATTGTATAATATCTGATGAAATATTTTATGAAATATTGTAAACAATAAATTTTGTTTTCATAACCTTACAGTCATTTCATGAAGGATTTTAACATTGAATGTCTTTGTACTTTAATATTGTACATTTACAGAATAAAATATTTGCTGCTATGTTTAGTTACATGTGGTGATGAATTCATTCATTCCCCACTTGCTTTCAATAACTGACAAATTTCTTCCATTCTGGGTATTCTATAATCATTGTTAACACAATATAAACAATAACTTAACAATCAACAGACAGCAAAATAAATAAATAGAGGATATTTGTTTAGTTCAGTGTAAGTTTGGAATATATGTCACCAAGTGAGCACCAAAAGGTATATTTCACAAGTTAAGCAGCCTTGAGTGAAACATTAACTTTTGGTGTTCACGAGGTGAAATATATTTCGATCTTACACTAAACTAAAAAAATGATCTTTTTATTATATGCAAAGAAATGTTTAAAGACATTTTAACCTACTACTAAATGAAAAGCACATCAAATAATAACACAATGTTATGTCATTTATGACGCTACGTTATTAAGTTGGTTTCAAGTACTGTGCACGCTGGTATTTCACAGAAACAACGTAAGGGGCTTAAATTTGAAACAGTTAAATTATCAATTGATAATTTCACTGTTTCAAACAGTGAAAATATCAGTTTTATATTTCACTGATATATTTCTACAAACCACCGAAAAGCATGTAATAAATAGCTTTATACACTAATCTTAAACCTACTGGAGCAGAAATTGATTAGCCTTAGTATAGAGCCAGGTCAGCAGGTTAGGGGTGAACAGGTTAGTAGACTCACATTTGTAATCTTAATTTTGGGTTACCTGGAGAAAATTAATTTTGAATTAAGATAGAATAATGCCGCTGTTTAAGAACATGACAAGTATGTACATGTACTTCCATGTGATCTGACCTTACTGAAAGTGTTCACTACTGTAATTCAATTATATCATAATATATTTTTACCTGCTATTTGAAAGTTATAGGCGGATTTTATTTAATTATAATTTCCATTAACAAGATACATAAATTTTATATAAAACTTTTTAAAATACAATTTTGCTTTTGTAGTTTTCACATTGTGATAGTCAGATTTCTCTTATTTATTAATATTATTTTTGTTTACTTTTGATTTTTCTTGAAAGTGTTACCATAGTAACACATTAGTATCATACTAGGTATGCTTCTTTTGTTTTATGTTATTATTGATATATATTTTTGTCAAGTTGTATATTTTGTTTTCTACATGTAGTAGATAACGTCTTTAATTCAGTTATTGCAAACCATGCTTAATATTAGTAAATTTTCAATGTGATAAAATGTATTTCCCTTAAAATTTCTTAAGTGAATTTACTTAATAATATTATTGTTATGTCTTGATTGTTGAAATGACATTATGCTCATTTTGTTTCTTTTTGCTGTCAAAGGTGAATTAGCTATATAATTTAAAGGATTGACTTTAATAAAATGGCAAATGACCCAATTTTTTGGATAAAATATTAAAACTGCTTGAACTATAAAAAAAGACTGCCTGACTCTTTTTATCAATTGAAATTTACCCTTACATTCTCAAGGATATTTAAAGAAATCTCTGTTTGTTATCGATTAGTCATGCGAAGAAGAGTATAAAATTGAAAATAATTACGGCAAAATGTAGTTATTTTGACTTATTTGTAACCTCAACATTTACACTTGGATGGACATAATGTCATTTTAATATTTTGACTAGGAATCAGGTGTATTGACTAAAATAGCAAATCAAACAAACTATGTTTGAAATTTTATTTTTGTATGAGAAAAATTGTAAATCATTATTGTTGAAAATTTTGTAAAGATATTTGAAATAAAATTTATTTAAAAACTGAATTATTCAATTCTTTTTGTTCTTCAGTGAAAAGGAAAGAGGATATTGCTGGTATATTCCACTGATTAATTACTAGTATATGATGTAACATTGTTTAACTTTATAAGATGATTGACTGTTTTTGATGGATTTTTTTTCAGTTTTCTACAAGGTCATGGGTCAGATATATAGGGACTATAGATTGAAATGATGTTCACTTTAAAGGAACTCCACTGAGGTCCAAAGTCCAAATTTATATAATTTAAATTCCTTACATAGATCTCCTGGGACAATTAAAACAAAAGATATGCAAAAGATAATTAAGAAATATACTCAGAAATAAATTGAAAATCATATTTTTGTGCTATTCTTAGCCTGATTTGAGTAGATGATACTCTATTCTAGAAAAGCAAAGAGAGCGAGTGATCTGAAATTTTGCACACAAGTTATTAACCTTGGAAACATATTTCCAGTCCCGTCATGTCCAAAAACCTCAGTGGAGTCCCTTTAAGATTACTTGAAGGGTTGATACAATTGCCAACACAAAACTAAAGACAGCCCACAATACAGACCATCTCTAAAATTGATAGCTACACAACTGTTTTCAGCAGGCAGCTATATAAACTAAAAATAATGTTTTGTTCCAAAGGTGATAGACACTTAAAAGTGAAAGTCACAGACACAAAAGGTAGATGTCAAAATGACACTTCAGAATGAAAATCTTGTTCCCTTGATAAGATAACTTTTAATTAACCATTGATACAATTATTATTTTCATACACATTCCCTATTATAGATTTATAGACTGTGTTTAAAGTAAATACATTGTTTCTAATCCCTGCCTCCCTCCCTTCTCTGCAAAATTGTAAAATTGATATTACTGCACAAAAAAGTTGAGGACGACCCCTGATTGTCATGTAGGGCAACTCTCTTTAAACTCTGTTTACCCAACTTACCAGTATATTTACATCAGGAAGATATAAACATGATTTATGGACATAATTACTGGCAAATTATCTTTACATTCAGACCGTATCAGTAATAACTTTTTATTTACTATATACATTATACACTTACCTGACACAGTTTATGTTTGTTTGTTACGCCGAAATTTAACATATTTTTTGGTCATATCTTCATGTCCGGTCGGTCCAACCAATCGGCTTTCCTGGGTATCTATAACCAGTAACTGCCAGTTTCTCCAAATGTGACCGACGGGACTTCTTATCCCGTATAATTTCTGAATCAGCATTGAGAGATAACTGACCATAAGACAAATGTCGGAGATCAACGTCACAAAACAATATTGTCTCACAAGAGGATCAAATCAGCTACGTCTGGATTACAAATTTGTTTGTGTGTTTGATTGGGTTTTATGTCACACCAGCACATTATAGGTTATATGACGACATTCCAGCTGTACTGATGGAGGAAGACCTCAGGTGCCCTTCCGTGCATTATTTCAGGCACGAACAGGCACCTGAGTAGAACCACCGACGTTCCGCAAGCTAGCTGGATAGCTTCCTCACATGAAAGAATCCGAAGTCCCTGTCGGGATTCCATCCCACAGAGGTAAGGGGTGAGTGGTTTGAAGTCAACGACCTTAACCACTCGGCCACGGACGCCCATCTTGATTACAAATGCTCTCCCTAATTTCAGTCATTAAATGAAATTAACAAGCAAAACAAATAAGATTTCAACTTTTTTATTTTACCATTATGTTACATTCTTTTACAGTAGAAAAATGATGACATAAAAAGTGAGTTTTTTTCATGTACATGTATTGTGAATTATGAATAACAAATATGACTTTAAAGTTGAAAGTGATAAAAATGGTATACCCAAATTGTCATTCTGTAATATTTAACACAACAATTTTTTTCCTAATACATGTAATTTAAATTGTTTTCAAGAACACATAAAAAAAATGTTTCTAGAAAAATGAAATTTAAAGGATATTGACAATCCTATACTAATTCTTAATCGTATGGTTCGTGTTGTCATCTTTTTTTATTTATAGCCTATTGATTGATAAAAATCTGGATAAAGTGTGATCCCGCACATAATTACCAATTCTAGACGATGATGAATTCCTTTAAAGCAGCCTTCAGCTTTTCAACAGGTTAAATGAGCCGCGCCATGACAAAACCAACATAAGCGTTTGCGACCAGCATGGATCCAGACCAGCCTGCGCTTCCGCGCAGTCTGATCAGGATCCATGCTGTTCGCTATCAGATTCTCTACTTGTTATAGGGTTTGTAAGCGAACAGCATGGATCCTGATCAGACTGCACGGATGCACAGGATCCATGCTGGTCGCAAACCCATTATGTTGGTTTTGTCAAGACAAATATGCTATTTTTAGACAAATCGTTTCATATAATTGTCATATCATAAGAAGTATTAGGTGGAAAAAGAAATTTGCCAACAATGAAATAAATAAATAATAAGGAAACCCCTTAAAACCTCTCATCTAGCATGCAGTCAGCTCTCTATATTCAAATTAGTAATGTGGACAATTTGTTTCCTTATCTTCTATTTTTAGTATCAATGATTTTATAAATAGCTCTAGGGACACTGTATTGGAGATAACTTAACAGTGATATGATGCACTTTTCAAGAAAAAAATTACTGTAATACTTAGTTTGAAACAACAGAATTGTTTTTATAACAGAAAATAAAAACTGAAGGCGACTTTAAAAGTTTACATGTCAATCAATTACAGAGGCATAGCTTACTGAACATTGCTGTAAGATATATAATATTGATAGCCTCTTTTTGTTATAAATTTACCCGTTATTACATAAGCCATGCCACCAGAGTGAAATAAAGCCATTTAATAAAAACAATATTATTCTAGAGTAATAACAATGCTTTGTGACAATATGTGTCGTACAGCAAAGCATAACAGCATGCTAATATCAGCATTGCACTATCGGCTCTTCCATGAAAAATGACTCTTTTCTTTACTGTAAACCATATGCGATAAATAAAATATCATATATACATATATGTATGTGACAGTTTAATTCTAAATTTATTAAACTTATTAAATAAAAAAATATCGCTTGCCATAGTCTCACAAAATATAAAATTATTGAACATATAAATTTAGTATTGAACCTACATTCATTCAATATCTTCTAATTGTTCTGTATATATTGAGATATGGCAAACTGATGGTCTTATAATCAAAACTCAGTTTGTAGTGTATATTCCAACAATCAATCATAAAGTGTCACTTGAAAAACAAATTTAATAAAATAACTTGAATGATCTAATAAATGTAAACAAGATGCTTTAAAACAAGTTAAGAAAATTCAGTATGTTGTGTTAAGTGATACAAATATGTACATGTAAGATGGTAGGAGGTATTTTATAAATTATAAATTTATTGTATTGCATAAAACTTTGGAACAGAAAATAAACTTTACACGCTTTTTAAAACCAAAATCATACAAACCTATTTCATTACATTTACCAATATGGCATACTGAAACAATTTTCATAACCTTGTTCAAGAGAGTCAGAAATACAAAATTCTTTAATTAACACAACAGGAAATGAATCATATACCTTACTAAATTACCTCCCTTATTCAAAGCACTACATAATAAATTACCTCCCTTGATAACTTCACAAGCTTTTATAGGGAAAAAGCAGCCTATCCTTTAAGCTGATCCCAGAGAACATATAAATGGTGAAGTTAAAGCAAGGCAATAAAATTAAAGCCTTAAAGTAAACAAGAGCTGTCGGTAGGACAGCAACGCTCGACTATTCTTAGTGCTTGATAGTAAAAAAAATGCTTGATAGAGTTACCTCCTCCTGTTTACAGGTTGGGGTCATCATGGTGAACAAGTGTGCAAAGTTTCAAAGCCATATGTCAATGGACTTTGAAAATATTTGAACTATTACAAAAACTTTAACGTAAATTCTAAGTCGAAAAAGGGGCATAATTCTGTCAAAATGCTTGATAGAGTTACCTCCTCCTGTTTACAGGTTGGGATTATGATGGTGAACAAGTGTGCAAAGTTTCAAAGCCATATGTCAATGGACTTTGAAAATATTTGAACTATTACAAAAACTTTAACGTAAATTCTAAGTCGAAAAATGGGCATAATTCTGTCAAAATGCTTGATAGAGTTACCTCCTCCTGTTTCCAGGTTGGGGTCATGATGGTGAACAAGTGTGTAAAGTTTCAAAGCCATATGTCAATGGACTTTGAAAATATTTGAACTATTACAAAAACTTTAACGTAAATTTTAAGTCGAAAAAGGGGCATAATTCTGTCAAAATGCTTGATAGAGTTACCTCCTCCTGTCTACAGGTTGGGGTCATGATGGTAAACAAGTGTGCAAAGTTTCAAAGCCATATGTCTATGGACTTTGAAAATATTTGAACTATTACAAAAACTTTAACATAAGTGGTTACGCCGACGCGGACGCGGACGCCGACGCTCAGGTGACTGCAATAGCTCTACTTATTCTTATCGAATAGTCGAGCTAAAAAATAATAATGTAGCTGCCCTTTATCTGCAAAATATTTACAATTACAATATGAACAAGTATACTAAATATTAGTACACACATATAGTATATTAATTAAGAGTAACTTGATCTAAACTAGTATATGACCCAACAAATTAAAATTGGTCAGCAAAATCTGACCTGTTTTATCTGAAGCATTTCTTTTCTTATTTGTATGATATTTATAAAGTAAATTCTTGAAAAATTTTCACTTGTCTATACTTTTTAACCTTTAGTTTCAGTACTACATCAGCTTCACAATTCTTGATCATATAATCTTACATTTAACAAGGTATATACAGGTATATTGTAATGTAATCTATCATTAAAAAAAATAATACTATTTGAGTATTTCTCAAACATTGAAAAAAACAACAAGCAACCTCATATTTTGGAAAGATAGTGAACTTAAGTAGTGATACATGTTTATAAGTACAATGTCATTTCAAAGAAAATGCAAATGTAAATGTGTATGTATTTCAAAACACCATATGTTTTTTTATACATACCTTATAATAAAATGTTACATCATGTTAAAATATTTTATTCTTACTTAATTTCTCTTGATGAAGCAGGGTCTTTAATGTTGACCCTGATGAAGGTTTAACAGTATAAAGTTTCAGTTTCATAGAATTTTCAATTTTTAAAATATCAAAGCACTCAATCTAATTTCACTTTATTTCAAAATAAAATACCTGGAAAAAAAATCTTCTATTCATATATGTAACAATAATTATTACTATTTCATATAGCACCAATATTACTATTTCATATAACAATAATTATTTTATTCCCTATAACAATAATTATAATTACTATTTCATATAACAATAATTATTACTATTTCATATAACAATTATCATTACTATTTCATATAAGAATAAATTTTTACTATTTCAAAATAATAGTATTTTATCTAGCAACCATTGGAACATACATGTACATTGTGTACACCAGCAATGAACAAAAGAATAGATTTATAACATAAAATAATAACAAATATCCAGCTAACCAAAATATAGAAACAGAAATTCTATCATTATGTAACAATAAGATATGCTTCAATAAAAATATATAGTAAACTATCCAACATAATGTAAATTCTAACACGCTCAATATAAACCTCAAAATGTATCCATATTAACAGTTATTTATCAAATTTAAACAAATAAAGCAACATATTCTAGTCTTTAAACACAACAGTTTTCAACAAAAACATGTTCTGTAACTTCTCTTAATTCATTAAAAAGGTTCTATAACCATTTTATATAACTTTCATTTAATTCATTAAAACAGGTTCTATTACTTTTCTTTGAATTCAACAAAACAATATTCTTTACCTTTTTCTCTGAAAAATAATTGTTGGGAATTACCCACTTTTCAAAAATTCAAATCAAGAATAAACTGTACTTTTAAAGGATAATATTTGTAGTTATTAAAAGAACAGTTCATAACAATTTACAGTCATAAAAATAAGTATGGTCAGGTAAGCTGCTTTAAACTTGACTTACTTATTCTTTCATGACTATGAATTACTACACTGCCTGGTATCTTAATATAAAATGGCCAAAAAAGGAAACCTCAAAGATTGCCAAAAAGGATAAAATTAAAAATGTTGCATGCTTGGTTTGATTGAGCCTTTTTATAGACAGTAAAGCTAAATGCAAGCTTCTTTCCACACCACCCAAGCGCTGGCATTATGCAGAAACCACTTAAAACAACCTGGTTCGAACAGCACTAAATTCAAACGCAGAGAAAAGTTCATTAAAAAAATTAAACACTGTAACAGTAAAGCTTTTTTTGCATTAAACTATTTTTAAAATTAGTTAATACTGATATGAGAAGATTTATTTACTCATCTTATATACAAAAGTTATAGTATTGGAGTTCACATATTGTTCAACATTTTTACACGCACCATCAAGCTTGAAATAGCTCTAATTTACCCTGCCCATATTATCTTTGTACAAAGTAAAACTATTTATAAATCTTAATGTAAATTAGCCCTGCCCAGACATGCCCTGCCCAGGCATCTTTTTTTTGTAAAACTATTTATAAATCTTAATGCAAAAAGCTTCAATAAAAGTTTGTTTCATGTTCCTCTGATTGATAGCCGAGTGTTTCAAGTTTTTTTGTTGTTGTTTTTTTTCACTTATAAAAAGAAAGGATTTTTTATTGTGTATTTATTTTCTTGTAAAGTTTAAAATCTACATGTATTTGCAATAAAAATGTTAAAAATTATTGCAAAGTTAAGAGTGAAGCGCAAAATCATTTTTCATTATTGGCCTAATGAATTATGAAATGCTATAATGAAAAAAACATTTCAACTGATATCTGATGATACAAACCTGTGTTGCATGTTGTCAAATCAAAGATATCTATCAATATTATACTGAGAATGTTTAATATTCACTAAACACTTCCTCTAGAAAATCTGTTTTATAACTTTATACATGTTAAGTTTTATTATTATTGCTGTAGCGTTACCGTAGTTACGCATGACATATCACTGACAACTATAATGACATAGGGTGACCTTTCTACTTACTGAAAGAAGAATACCAGACATACATGTATATTATTATTTAATGCAAGAGGAGTCACTGGAAGGACTATCTACATGTGCCTTCCATCAGCAGTAGCCAATGGAATTCAAACCCTCAGTAATTACAAGTCATTGGCTTTAACACCCATGCAGTAAGATCAAAACAAAAACATTAAACAGGAGATTCTGAGTTATTGACATAAACACACAAGCAAATACATTTAGATAGGGGATTCTGAGTTAGTGACATCAACACATAAGTGGGGATTCTGAGTCATTGACATTAACACAAAGGCAGTAAAATCCAAGCAAATACATTAAATAGGGGATTCTGAATTATTGATGATTCCAAATTATTGACATTAACACCCAGGCAGTGAATTTCTCCTTTATATAACAGTGGCCTATACTATAGCTTTTTTACTTCCCAAATTAGCAATTTGAGCAATATTTTTTCCCAAAATCAAGTGGCTATGGTTTCTTCCCAATTAAGTGAGAAAAACCACTGCCAGGCAGTAAGATCCAAGCAAATACAATAAGGAGCAGAAAAGGATTGCAAGTTTCTGACATTAACACCAAGGCAGTACAATTAACAAAGAAATACATTTAAGAAGGGCAAGTGATTTAAAGTCAAAGACATTACCCAGTAACCACCAGGCAGAAATCTGTTGAAATTTATAAACAAAAATCTTCAACTGATTAATATGTACATGTATATATTTAAGTGCAGTGTCTGAGTAAATATGGCATTGAATTGATGGAAAAGTAATTTCAAGATGCCCTTTTTTATTTTCAAAGTTTCATTTACCCTTAAGAAAAAATTTGCTTATTATGTAACAATTCTTACAAAATAAAATAGATGAACTTTAGAAATTAACTTGGTTATATTGTCAATATATTGAAGATATTGCCTCCCTGATAATAACACCCTTCTGACAGCACAAAGCCTGACCTTTGTCTTGTGATTGACAGTGAACCCCAATTTACCCCCACTATCATCCAAAATCAGCCATGAATGGCAGACAATTTACCATTAAACACTGTATCAAAATGGAATTTAATAACAATTATCTAGATAATGTTTTTACAAGTTCAACAGCAACACTAGCTTTCTTCAAGGAGCATGGTCTATTAAATTTTAGATTACCCTGGTAACAATCATATCTTGCTGAAAGCATCTACACATCATTTGGCTAAACAGGAAGTTCTCGTATGTGAAAATGGAAACAGAAAAAAATGTCCTGTAATCATTTAAAACATTTAATATCTGACCGGTTTATCAAAATAAAATGATTTTGATGCTTTGTAAGAGGACAGACATAAATGTTTATGTATCTGACATTGTGCATGAAGTACTTATGCAAGCATGACAATAAAGTACCTGCAGTTTTAATACTGTACTAACATTAATCACAGCTTGAATAACAAGCAATAGCAAAATGATACTATAATCTTCTGTTTGATAAGAATAAAATCATTTTAGATTCAGCAAAAACACGAAACAAAATATTCCATTATGAGATTCCAGAGATTTTGTGTTTTATTGGGTTTTACATTGCACCAACACAGTACAGATCATGGCGATGTTCTAGCTTTGCTGATGGAGAAATACCTAAGTTACCCTTCTGTGTGTAATTTCAGGCACAAACAGGCACCTGAGTAGAACCACCGAAGTTCCGTTAGCCAACTGGACAGCTTTCTCACATGAAAAAATCAGAAGATGCTTGCCTGGTTCAAACCATGTGCAGTGAGAGGCAAGTGGTTTGAAGTCAACAACTTTAACCCTTTAGCCACTGACGCCCCGGATTTTATTTCTATATTTATTACATGGGTCCAATTAGTGGAAAAGATTCCAATATTTTTTTTTTCATAATTTTGTCAATTATTTAAAATTCATAATTTGCATATCCAGAGACACAATAAACCTTACTTTATGAATAAAATAACCTACAATTTGGTGGACCCACACCAAATATAAAAGGATGAAACAACCTCACTGCATTCACCCGTTCTACAATAATAAATAATAGTTATTGTTAACAGACTCTGAAGAGGCTAGCTTTTTCAAAAGACAGGAATATAATAAATTATATGTAATTATATGTAAATGGTAAAATGTAAGACCAGTCTGTGTATTCAAGGGTTTGTTAAACTTTTGGTCTGTTTAAAAGTCAATATTGGGTCAAAATCCAAGTTCATGTACATTCACCTGATTACAAGTAATTTCTTGGCAAGTGTTTAATATTGAAATAGTTTAATACTGAACCTGCCAAATTTTAAAATGGATTTGCCCTGTGTTTTGATTTTGGGGCAGTCCATTAAAATTTTAAGGGATTGCAATATCAAAGATGATCAGCCCGAGCTATCAACAGTATAGAGCCTGATCAGGCACAGATATGAAAGTTGACCTTGCTCTATATTGATGGTAAAGGCTAATCACTTTCAAGGCCATAAGGGTATTAATTTAAAAGCAACATATAGACATTGACAAATTAAACACACATGACAGTTCAGGTCAGAGTACCATCATAAAGCTTACAGTGAATTTGAATTTAACAACTTTTGTAAAAAGCAATTTCAAAAACAACTTTAGTAGATCAATTCATAAAACATGGCCTTGGGCTAAAATATTTCATTTGAAAAGCCAGCACAGTCCGTCTCATTAACAACAGTGAAATATACATAACATACCATAATATACCATACTCAATAACTCAGACATATGTTTCACAAAATGATTTAAAATTCACAACAGATGTGAACCTATGTTATAAAGATTTCATTGTTTCATTGGAAGAAACATGTCATCTAATCTATATAAAAAAGGTTTGTTTTTTTTTTTTACAAGTTTTTTTTACAATAATCAATATACAAATTCAAAATGTTGAATGTGCTTCCTATACTTATAACACTATCAATGCTACTTAGATATTTACTATGATAAAAACTCAAATCTTTAACCATCATTCTTCAAGCATCTTAAAATATATTAAAATTACAAGTACTGGAAAGATGTTCATCAAAACCTGTCAGTGTGCTATTAGCGGCTTTATACTAGAATTTCTTCCCTACAGAAAAACCCATAACTAAAAGGCAATAATACATTTCCTATCTTCAGTACAAAACCTGTTTTCAGAGACAAACAGTCAACAAATGCCATTCATTACAAACACAACAGCATGCATTTGTTGCTATATACACAGGTTTGACTCTTATACAGTATTTACAGCTCTAAATTATAGTGTTTTAAGCTTGTAAAAAATGGCACTATTTTATAGCATGTACAGCTACTACTGAATCTCAAAGCTCTTTAATGTAGACCAAAACCATATCTGTTTATAGAAAGCAAGTTTTGACAAGCTATATACAGAGGCCAAGTATACCAAAGTATCCTAAATTATATTTTACACTGTTTTAAAGGTGATTTTAATATCATTTAAGCCAAAAGTAATGGATGTTGTCTAAGTACACATAAAAGGATAAAGTGGAGCTAAAAATTCTCAACCTAGGCATCATGGTTTTCAGCCCTCCCAATCCCCAAGATCATATTTTTTGGGAGCTGCTTGAAAAAAGGCTTGATATAACATTTGCACTTGCAAACTGCAATGTGAAATTAAGCATTCAAATTTCAGTAATTAGATGTCATGCAATAATGTCATGCAATAAGTTTATACTTACAAACTTTTCATATTAAAGTTGTCTTGATGGACATTTTCTCATATATCACTGTCGGTAACTAGTTCAATTCATGATGTTCTTCACAGAAAAACAAACAAAAAATCAAAATTGTTTGAGTAACCCTTTATCCTGGTTAACCTTCTATACCATCTATTGGTATTTAAACCCATTTAAGATAACATACCAATACATCCAACTTGACCACATATTCCTTGGCTTCATATCTAAATCATGGCTGATCTTTCGGCATATTTGCCAAGAAGTACACAACAGCTTCAAATTCTCTACCTTGTAATGACCCAGAATGCTTTCCAGTTGATGGTCCTAATTTGGTTTTCAAGCCTGTGAAAAAAGCGTGATTTTCTGAAAAGGTGAATGTTTTTGTCTTCGTGATTTGTTCATTTCTTCTACCTCCTGGAACACGCATTTTTAAAATACATTTTGCCCTTACATCACATGTCCAGTCTTTGTACATGCTCTCGTCACTCATACATTTTAGATAAAGGTTAAGATAGGACACTACATCATCATCATCTGTATTTGAAGCTGTAAAAATAACAGTTTGTGCCGAGAACTTTAATCCTTGCAGAGAAACACTTTCACTCCTAGCTGTCTGCTTATTCAAATCTTCAGCTTTGTCAATTTTCAGACAAAGTTCCAGTTTACCAGATTCTGCTTGCTCAAAGCCACCAAAGGCCTTCATTATATCTGACATTTCAAATGCTCTGCAGGTTTTTGCAAGATCTGATCTGGCTTCTTTTAGTAATTGATGTTTCTTCAAGATGATTTCTCCCTGAACAAAATGAAGGGTGTCATGAAGTCCTAATTTGTCACCCGATGCTTGGACAGCAAATGGGTCTTTATCTGAAAGGAGTTTTATGCAATGATCTTTCAATGCATTCAGCTTGTACTGCTTAGCTTTAGTCAAAATACGCATTAGAGAATTTATGCAAGGTTCGCGCAGTTCTATACTTTTTATCAAGTATTCTTCACACTGCTGTAGCAGATTACCTACGTTGTATTCAAATGCTAATGCTAATATCTTAAACACATTTTGCTTTGTAATGTCAGGATGTGAGACATTTGGAAAAACACATTTAAGAAAATCAAGGAAGCTTTCATATTCCTTTCCAGGCAGTTCTACTAATGTCCCCTTTTGTCTGTAATTTTTTTCCCTAAACATGGACCGAAACACTGGAGAAAACATTGCTAAAACAGTCTTGGAGCAATAAATACGTTTTCCTTGAACAATAAATGTAATGTCTGACATCCAAGTTTTGTTTTTGAAATTAAAAACTTCAATTTCTTTGTTCGTACCTTGTTTGGGTTGGCTATCTTTTGAGGAATTAACCTCTGATGTTGGTTCCCTGTCAATCAATTGTTTATACCCTGGAAGTTCTTCAAAGTCTTCTCTTCGTGTTTCTTTATGTGTTTCTTTATCACACTTAGATCTACACTTTCTTGGTGATTTCTTACATTTCCTCTCCTTTTTCTTGTATTCTTTAATAGCGTCCACATCTCGGTTATCGATTTCAACCCTACAGTGAGTTATTTTTGACAGTTCTAAATCCGAATTTAAGTCCCCTTCTTTCCGACGTTTGCTTCTTGTAGCATGACCATGGGCATTTTCCTTCAAAGAATCATCTGGAGCACTTCTTTTCCGTTTCTGGTTTCGTTTTGTACGCATTGTTGTTTCACTTGAAAACGTTTAACTTGTTTGTATGTCTACATTTTAAAGCAGTTTACATTCTAACTGTGTTTCGCATTGTTAACTGCTGTTAACTGTCTACCGCTCACGTTTTTTGCCGCCAGATGTTATCAGTAAATGTCGTTATAACTGTCTAAGGCCAGTAAGGGAGACAATCCAATGATCCATTATTAGATTATCTGCTAAACCTGCGGTGGTTACTGCCCCTACCTCTGGCCAAAAAAGTTAACACTCGCAAAATAAAAAAAATCCTTCAACTTAAACAAATGACGTGAAATGCCACGTGGTACAGCCATCCTGATGAAATATCATTAATTTTTAATCATTTAGAAACTGAAAAGCACTGCCCTCGCGGCTAGGTATATGTTGTCCATTAATTTTCATAAGCATGATAAGGTTCACATCTGTCTTTCAAATTTTATATAATGTTACTGGTCTTTTTTGTGCAAATGACGAGTCAAGTATTGAAAGCAGCGAATTTCTTTACAATCAAATATGTTGTATATTGCTTAATTTAAAAAAAAGAAAAAACCTTGGGGACATTTTAAAAGCCTTATGGCTTTCAATTATTTTTTATATATACATTTTATATTGCTTTAAAACTTGTTAATTTGACATAAATAGTACATCTGATAGAAAACAGGATTCAAATAACCTGGGATGTACTATAACTTATCGTATGTCCCAGAAATAACGTTAGACGATTCTTGGCCGATTTGAAGTGAACTGTCGAAGTTTCTAATTTCTGTAGAACAGCACGGATGAACACTAATTAATATATACTTTTGAAACGAAACTATAACAGGACACCAAGAAATAAAAGGCCTTGATATCATTTTTTTGTTAATAGGTCTGTTTTAGTACACATTTTATTTGGTTATTGATCTTACAAATGGTAAACAACTGGTTATAAATTTTAGAAACCCATTTGAAATCGTTGGAAAATAGCATGATATTTGAAAACAATACAACGTCACTTTCTAAGTCCCATGAGTCCGAAGTTCATTGTCAACTTTAATCAATTTATGTAATCTACACACTTAATGTTATCTTTAAAGTTTCGTTACGCGTGGAAATCCAACATGAAAGATAATAAGAATGAGTATCTATATATTTATATATTTAATTTCCAGATCTATTTTCTGAAAACGAAGTTCTTTAAATAGCAAATGAAAACATTCCCTTACAAAATGTATTTTTATCCACATGGATTTCCCCATCTGTACATATATTAAGAATTTAAACTGAATAATATGTTTAATTCTTTGATAACATAATAACAATGAATGTCGATAACTGTAAAACTCTAGTAAGTAGCATGCGGTCTATAGGATTGTCCATGCGAGATGTTATGAACAAAGTGATTGACAAGGATCATAAACAGTACCTTGTCGCATGCATAGTCTCTCAAAGGGAACTAGATGAAGGAACTTTTCTTGATTTGTTTTCACGAGCCGAGCGACAGTTTCATAGTCTGTTAAACAGAAAGATAGATGCGTCAAAGAGATATTTCCAATTTGAAAGGTTTATTTTCTTAATGAATTATAAAGATACAGAAGGAGATAACGAACACACAGAGGCTCGACTACTCGGTTCTTCAGGTGATAAACTGAAACATCTGAACAAATGTGAAGAAGATAAGGAGGAGGTAGAATCAGAAGAAGACCAAATGCGTACTAAAACTAGTAAACACGAGACCCATAAATATGAAACACCATTTCTCTTCCGCATGAGAAAAGATTTTGAGTCAATATTCGGCGAGGAGGAAAAGTTTTCTATAGCTTTATTTTCTCACTTTTTACCTTGTGCTCAACCTGATCACATGTGTGCTGAATTGATAAAGACGTTTGCAGAGTCGACACAAACTGACATAATTTTATCGTATGAAATGCCTTATATGACAACTGATGAAGAATCTTGTTTCAAAATGTTGGAACACGAAAAGGTCTTGTTGATCCATCCAGAAGAGTGTAATTATTTTCAACAAAGGCCTGATGGTTTCCATGGACCTCAGCTACAACCTCACCATAGGAACAGGTACAGGCCGTACAGCGTACAAGGACATCTTTATGAAGGTAATGGCGCACATGGCGAGCTTTTCTATAATTACAACCTCCATCAAAATGGCTTTGATCATCACTATGGATATGAACCTCGAAATGACTTTTTTCATCGCCATGGATATCCGCCATACAATGACTTTGATGCTGATTATAGATACAGACAACACAACGGCTATGGAAATTATCATTTTCATCCATTTAATGAGATGTCTTATGATGGCTGAAAAAAATGTGTTGAAAAGTTTAACGATGCCATATCATTGAAGCTACTAAAACGTGATAGTTCTAACTATCATCATTGACACATTTAGGAGGGTCGTCTTTAGATGGCATGGATCAGATTGGATTGAATAACATTTCGTTTGTGTTATTTTCGATTTTGTTTTTAAATTTTAATTAAGAATGAATCAATCTACTGTATTGAACAATATAATGTATGTAGTCTCATCTGAGAACATGTGTTTCACATTTTTTCCTTAAACGTTACAGATAATATTTGAATTGATCTGCTATTTCCTATTTTATTAATTTTCAATTGATAAGTTGTTTATCAATTTCAATTTTATCACTTTTATTGTTTTTCAATATGTGTTAAATTATAAAATCATTTATTTTACATCTAACTTTTTAACATAAAATTGTATCGTATTTGATTAAAGAAAATCAGTATGGTATCATTGTTAGTATTAAATTGTGAAGAATTGTTATTTATAGACACGAACAAAGTTATGTGTAACTGTTATAAAATACAAAGCAGTACTTTATTTATTAGTTACTCATTGTTACTCATGATTTATGTACTAGTATATGAATTATATGCTTTAACTTGGTAAGATAAAAAAAACTCTGTAAAAGTATTTAATAAAGTTTATGTTTTGTTTTGATTGTTTTGTAATAAAGGTGTGCCTAGTAATTCAATGTGTGTAAATACCGTTCAAAATCCTATTGTGATAGTTAGACCCTATATAAAGTATTCCACGTAATCGTATTTAAAATTGTGCAATAAAGTTTACAAAAAATCATGAATTTTCGAAAAATCATATGTATAAAAATAAACTAGCACAACTATGTTCTGATTTTCATTTCAATTTTCAAAAAAATTAGATGACAAATTTTTAGTTTTAATTAATAGGATTGTTCGTTTACCCTTTTCGCTGCTGGCGGAAACTGATCCTACCTATGCGACCGGTGTAGACCAAGATCAGCCGGCACATCTGAGTAAAGTCTAGATCTACTTAATTAAATTATTAATTATCGAGATTGGATCAACCGGCACATCAAGGTGTGCACTGTTCGCTTTTTCAGACAGAACAGACATATTTTGAAACTTTCCCTAAAATGCTGTTCAAATGGTTTTGTCCAGGTTGAAAGATTGACAAGTCTGTCTTAAGATATTAACATGGTAATAAGAGCTGTTTAAAAATATCTCAGAAATAAATGATTACCTGGAAACAAGAATTAACTGTGTGGATAAATTTAAACCTATATTTTGTTTATACACTTAAAACAACAACAACACTTTTTTTTAAATCCAACTATACAAAGTTATTTAACATTGTGCAATCAAGTCTTTTTAATCAATTCTAAACTCCAACAAATAAGTTTTGATATGCAGGCTTCATAACCTCAGATCCCCTTTCTAAAATCCATTTTATTTAGTTCCGCCCATTGTTTTCTCCTTTAGGGCACACTTGGGGACCATACGCAGCTTTTCATGGAATGACACTACTGTGTCACTTTGAAGGGGTTCCATGATAACCGCCATATGAGCACATCTGCGGATGTTTCTATATTTTAAATTTCGCCAGTTTTGTGTTTAAATGTTGAATTCTGCTTAAGCCGGTGCTAGTGGGCGTTGACGCGGTAATTTACACTTTCCAGTATCGTCCATGAACAGGCTCAATCAAACCGAGCCTGCAACATTTTACAATTTTGCCGTGTTGGTCTTTCTTTAGGGATTCTGTTTTTCTCTATTTCGAAAATTTGAGATAGATACTTTATTAGTTTAAACTTTCTACAAGTGTTCGTTATAACATAAATGATATATGTATATAATACAAATTCACAATCGTATGACAATGACATATATAGATACATTGAGAATAGTGTGTAACATAGTGGAAAAAAAAAGAAATCAACAATCAACAACACACACGCACGCGCGCACACACGCACACAAATGCACGCACGCGCGCGCACACACAGTAAAAAAGAACATTAAAAAACCCGTAATCATATATAAATGTGTATACCATTGACTAACAAGAGCACCGCAAAGGCGGGGCAATATACGCCCGAATGTAAATTTGTTTGAGTAATCAAAAATAATCTTTTAATACGGGTCGAGACCCGATCAAGAAATTTTGAACAAAAAGTTTCATCTTGATTTTTCTTATGATACTATATAACCTCCAATGTGGGAGTAATTTTTACTCACATAACTTTTATAGAGGTCTACTAGGCAATGTTATATGCCAAGTATTGATAGTATTTATGCACAAAAAAATAAGATGTGTTTAATACCTTAAATTAGTCTAATTAAACAAGTAATGCCGGGAAAGGTCAAATTTTGACCTGAGTGTCATGATTTATATAACTTTTGTAGAAATCTACAAATTGATGCTCCATGCCAAATATCTAAGCTCTTGGCTTTGTAGTTTCACATATACCTATAATCAAGTGACCCAGGGGCGAGCCAATTTTGAACCCAAAAGTATTATCAGTACCAAATTTCGTATGAATGCATAAGCAAAACAGTTGCAGATTTGGTATCAAAATTTGAAAAAAATATATAGACCATAAAACGGTTTTACTTTGTATTGTAATTTGAAAATTATCAGAATTTGGTTTCGTGTCAATAGCAGAAGAGTGAAAAGTTAAAGTTGCAGAATTGTGACTTTAAAACGTTTCTTTGACAATATAATAAATTAATATAAGCTGTTTTGAAAAATAAAGTGCATTTTTTAATTTTATCCATGAAATATGGTGCTATATCAGTCAAATATATTTCATAATTTTTTAAAAATAAATATGAAATAAAAATATGGAAGTGGGCGGAGTTAAAACTCATATTTATTTTAAGGGACTTCTTTCGCCATTTTGTTTGAAAAATCTGATAAATAAAAAACAACTTTTGTTGAATTTTGCTTTGAAAACTATCTAGAATGATAGAAAATGGTCTAACTAAGAAAATTAATCCGAACACCAATATCTTAAATTCAGTTATTAACGCTATACAGACGTTTAAACAGTTGTTTACGTGACGTCACAATGTAGCGCCAAATATATCGCGTGCAAAACAAGACGCAATAATATATTACTGCGCGCTGTACAATTGCAGTTGCGTAGCAAGCAATAGGGTTTGTAACCATTTTTCTTTGATAATGAAATTAAATAAAAAGATTATTTTTTCGTTTTTCGTAAAATATGGTATATATTTTCACTCAACATGATAAAATGCCACATATTTTCACTCGCCGTCCCGGCTCGTGAAAATATGTGGCATTTTATCATGTTTCGTGAAAATATATTACATATTTCACATAAACGAAAAATATCCTCTTATTATTATAGACGTTGAAACATATTTTTAAACAGCTTATATTAAGTTTAAATGATATATATGATAATTACATGCGCTAGGATTGACAAATATTCATTTTTTTTGGATTATAAAGGCTTTTCGAGCTCCACACTCAAAGCATGGCATATGGTCATTTTATTAAGCTCATCTGAAATAATTAAGTTTTTGTGGCCTGTTTCTCTATTTAAACTATTTTCTAGTAAATCAATGATCTCATTTTAACATCTTTTGACAAACACTGTTTCTACAAAAGTTTTAACAGAAAATGCACAAAAACATTCAAGACAATCATAATCTCAGTTTAAAAGGGCCCGGTTTAAAAACGCCATACTGTATAGTGGAGAAAAGGTGTGTACTCTGATACGACAAAAATCCTTACCAGTCGGACAAACACACTCAATATAAAGATTTTTTAATTGTTCAATATACAGCGAAAAAAAAAACACAATTCATTTTCTGCAGAATAGAATGATAAAAAAGATGCAGTAGATTTCAAGATTTTATTCAATACTATCATGTTTCATAAGAGCATGTGACATAAATTACAAAATTGTGAACATGTTACAACCAGAACACAGAAAAAAATACGTATTAAAAACAGGAGAATGAGTGACAATTATATTGTACCCATAAAATAAAATCATTAAAGATACATGATTATATTTTTAAAAACAACCGAAACAAAATTTTCTAGGAGACTAATGATACAATATTATACTTATTATGTGCATGTTGAAATTATTTTTTTTAACAAAACAAAACAAGGTTTTTAAAATGTGACGTTTTTTTTTTTTTACTATTAGTTGTCTTTGCAGTATTTATTGCTCTTTGTCGGTCTTTGTGCGGTCTTTGCAGTATTTATTGGTCTTTGTCGGTCTTTAGTATATGACCCAACGAAAAACAATTTTTGATATATCAAAAACATTTCTTGGTGACTTTAACGATGAATTATGGGAAACAGCATCAGTAACGGTGATTATGACGAAGAGCGAGAATTTAGAAACGTACGTCGTTACAGTATTCGATTTTTGAAATACATTTTGCTGACATATATTCGGATACTGCCAGTTCGGATACATAATTTTTAGTGTGTTACATAATTTGTGTGTTAAAAGTACAATGTAAATGAATATACTACTCTATGATTCAACTCGTAGTTTTATTAAAATGAAATAGTTGCTTATATAAAGAAAACTGTTTTTTTTATATTCTACTTTTAGTTTCATATATTTTGCAAAGTAATGATGGTACAAGTCATTAAAAAGATATGTGTAGTATTAATATTATCATGCTGAAAATAACAGAAAATTAAGTTTACTGGTTAAGCAAACATGTAAAGATTTGAAAGGACTTGATTTTTAACATTAAATCATGATGTAAGCTTTAAGCTTAATTGATTGAAACCACGCCCATGTTTTAACTTCCTGGAACTAAACCAGGAACTGCATTTAAGTAGTTCCTGTATAAAAATCATAGTCACTTAAAAACTATTTTTTAATATGCTCACTCACCAAAAAATTGATTGTTGCACATTAATATATGGCTCGTCAAACAGATTATGGAAATCCCATAAATAGAATAACCCAAATAGTTATAATAATAAGGCCTGACAGGGGTACTGAAATTATCGTGTGAGAGTGGTTTTGTTGAACTACTGGTTCGGCGAACTTATCTTATATTATAAAACAGGTTGTGGTTTCTGCGAACTCAATTTATATTGTGCAAAAAATATCTATTGTATAATTGGCATACAAGTCAATAATCTCAATGTGTGGTTTATCACACATTTTCATGCAATTAAAGACAAGATAGTGAAAATTTAAAATAAAACCTATTATTTTCTTTAGTATAAAGAAACTATATTTACGTAAAAGCATAACACAATACAAAAGATTTCAGTAAACAAACAACATCACATATATGTATATATATACACGTATATAAGTAAAACCTGAAAAAAAGAATAATAATGTAAAATTTACTACTTTGCCTTTAATTACTATACAACATAAGATCGACAAAACCGGTTTCGCACCTCTTCATAAACTAAGTTCGCCGAATCGGTAGTTCAACGAAACCACCATAATTCAAATTATCCATTATTTTGTATGAATAGAAGTAGTTCCCATGCATGAAATGTACATACATATAAACTCTCCCACTTTTAGCTGGAGACTCTCACTTTCTGCAGTTATATTTTCATAGATTTTTCTTGAAATAAGGGGTATTTTCACATATTAAATAAATCTCCCTCTTTTTAATGTCAGAACTTTCTTCTTTGTTTATTGCAATTTCTAAAATCTCCCTCTTTTTGAAGAAAAAATCTCCCACTTTATCATTCATAAAAGTTCACATGTATGAATGTAACCCATTGTAATTATACACGACAAACTAAAAAGGCTGTTTTAGCTCAATAGGTAGAGCTGTATTTATAAAGTTTATTAAAAGAGTGTTAGCTATATGTTCTTTACCACATACTTATAGATAATTTATTGTCTGTTTTCTTTGATCAAATTCAATAATACACTTATAAGTTAAATTTTATAACTTTTGGTTCCAGCTGAGTTCTGGTTCAGGAAAGACTGTCACATTATAGTTTTCCACAAGGTTAAATATATTGGAATGTGTATGATTCATTGATCAAACAAAACAAACAATAAATTATCTATATTAAGTATGTGACAAAGAAACATATTGCCAACAAGTATTGGCTATTAGATTTAATATATAAATATTGAAATCCTATAAACTTTAAATGCACTTTTCCATAGTTCATATTCAGGTATGCTGTAAAGTTGCAGCAGAAAAAAAAGATTTGTTACAAATACAATAAAGTTTGAAGTTAACCTGTTTCAATTTCAGATGGATGAAAGCAGTTCTGAAAATGAAGATTTGAATGGTAAATTAAATTTTTTATTCAGATTTATTTATTGTTATTATAAAGTCTACATACATGTGATATCTCCCTATTTAAGAGGGAGACTCCCTATTTTGGCTGTCAAATATTCAGATATTTTTTTAAAGGGGTGTTTTCACGTTGAAAAAATATCACATGTATGAGTCTAGGTCTGTGTAATGCCAGCCAGGCAGAAAACTGATTCTAGCAATGATTCAGACCTGACAACTTTTAAATTGTTATATAAATCATCTTATTGTACTAAAAGAAATTTCAATGTTGTTAATTGAAAAAAATAAAATTACATAGCAAGAATGAATTCTAAAAATTTCAAAGTTTAAAAGTTAACTTTTATTGAAAATAAATGTTTCAGAACAGGGTAAAAATCCCCTGTTACAGAAGTAGGAAGGTAAAACAGCCTGCATTAGGAGACCCCTATTGATAATGAGGTCATTTATTTCACAATAACATTTGAAATCCTTTTGTAATCAATAGCAAGATATTCTTCAGGCATAAGTTTGTCAGCAGATTTAGATGTGTTTATAGCCCATTAACATTGTCTACTTGTATACATGTACTTTAATACAAAAATAATTGGTAGAAGATCACAGAAGTCTATTGAAATCATGGCACAAGGTGTCTTTAGTGTAAGACTGTCTGAAGCAGAAAAAAGTTATTGTGCTCCCACATTCCCTGTATTCACCTGGCTTTGTCCCTTGTGACCTCTCTCTTTACTAAAAAAAAACCTTTTAGGTCGATAGTTTGTTCAGCTGAAACACCATGATTCTACAATATTCCAGTGTTTTCATAGTATACCTTAAAAAGATTATAAAAATGCCTTCAAAGATTGGAACTGGAGACTGAAACTTTGCATATGTGTTTGAGGTGAAAAAAATCAGTAAAAGTTGTGAAGAGTTAACTTTTACCTTAGATGCATTCACAATTGAACGCTCCTTTAAAGCATATTTTATTTGAAATGATATTTGCACAGTGTGCCTTGTGAAATAAATATTTTTAAATGTGTCACATTCCATAATATTTGCGAGTAAATTATATTCTTAGACTAAATTAAGTAGTACTGAGAATCCAGTAGCAATGCTTGGTTACTTGGTGGCTGTTTATGACTGAACCATTTTGTTACATTTTGTAGTGTCAAACCCAATCAATAAAAGGCTACTACTTCATCAATGATATGCATGTTGTATTTCAGATAAGGACAGTCAGGTACTTACAGATTTAGATAACCTGTTCAAACATGCAGACCTTAGAACAATAGCTGCCAAGATCAAGTAAGTAAAGTTTTACTTGGTGCATTTTAATGTTATCCAAAACTTCAGTTGTACGTATTACATTATCATCCTTAACAAAGACAAGATATCTTTATTATTTAACTTTCTATTAGACCAACAACTATTTTATTTGTTTTTATGCATTAATGTTACAGGGAGTATTTGAATGCCTATTATATAACATGGAGGACACAGATTTATGTTATTGTTATGTTACAGGGAGGACATAATTTCAAATTTTGATGTAAAGGTAGGGCTCGTTTTAATTTAAATTTTATTTTGTAAAGGGGGAATAGTTTAATAATGTTAGTTTACAGATAGGGCAAGGTTTAAAAAGATTAATTATTTAAACATTTCAATGACCACATGTTATTTAAGGGGGGATTGGTTTTTAAAATTTTTGTTATATATCCATAATCCAGGTGGACATAGGTTTAAATTACTATCATGTTACAGGGAGGACATACCAGAGAATGTTATACAGCAACATAGGTACCAGATTATTCGCTGGCTGGATGACCGGGAAGCAAAAAGTGAGGAAACGGTTACACTGGCCCAGTTCTGTGACATGCTTATGAATAAACCTGGTGTGTCAAGGGAAGATGCCATCAGAGTATGTTTTCTTAATTTTCAAAGTGAAAGCATTTTATACTATAACTATTTTATTGCCCTAAAGTTCCTATAGTAAGTTATTTATTTTAGGTTTTTATTTATTACCCAATCTGACTTGAAACATTTTAGGCCTCTTTGGTATGAAAACTAGAATATATTACAAATTAAAGTAGTACTGTAAAACTTCATTTCAGAAATTAAATGAAAAATATCTCAGTTTCTTATTTGAAACATTTGCTTATAGTTAAAAAATGATCAATGAAACTCCTCCTTATTGTATGTATAAAGCAAACATATAACATGTTAATGTTACAGGCATTCCAGCAGTTTGATACAGATGGGAGCGGGGTGGTGGAAGTGAGCACGATTCTTTCTGCCATCAAATATTCAAATGGCCCGAACATGATAGGAGAGCTTGGCAAGAGTATACGTATGCTGCAAGCATGCTCTCTCACACCTGGTTAGTCATCCTTACTTTCTAAATATAGAACCTTAATCACCGAGAGGTGAAGGTCGCTAATTAGCTTTCAGAAACTTAGATATCACTTATGTATTTAAGTTCCGCTCTGTGGACATTGAGTTATTTTGTGTGAGAAAGGTATCCAGGCAGTCTGAATAAAGTCTGTAATTCTACTTGTGTCCTGGTTAGTAATTCCTGGAGAGACACTTTAGGTCTTCCTCCACCTGTAAAGCTAGAGAGGCCCTGTTTGAGATAAACTACGCCTGTGTTAGTTTAATTCCAGAATAAATTTCTGCATAAATAATTGAATAGATTGTCTTTGTCAATGAATGCTTGATATGTTTTCAGATCTTTAGCGTATTTCTTTTTGTTGTTGTTGTTATTGTAAAATAACTAATTTGAATGTTATTACTTTTTTCATCAAAATTTCAATATTTATATTTTTGTTGTTGTAAGATAACTGATTTGTATGTTATTACCTATCAAATGTTTAATATTTTATTTGTTGTAGGTTTTGTAGATGTATATTCAGAGGACAAGAATGCTGTTAGTCAACATGCTGAGAGGATACTCAAGGTAACGTTAGGCTAATATTTTAATATTAATATCGTACTTAAGGTAAAGTTACAGGGCTGTTTTGGAATTATATCTAAGGTATATTAACAGTATCATTTCTCAATTCAAATAAAATTTGAGTAAAAATTATAAAACTACCAATTCCTATTGAAATGATAAATATTTGAGATTAACTTACACAAACATTTCTCTCTTGATATGATTTTATGGGTTAACATATAATAAATGATTTTTTATATCAATTTATGCAGTCTTTCATATTTCTGAAGTAAATTCATTCTAAGATTAATAAAGTTAATTGATATATCCTGGCATGTGGTCACTTAGTGGGTAGAAAATGTGTAAGCGGCTGGTTATGTCAGTTAGTAAAGCTGATGTACTATATTCGAAGGATCCCAGGTTTGTGTTCCAGCCATGCTGTATATTATCTCATCCTGTTACATATGGCACCTAACAATGGGGCCTGTTATGGTACAAGCTCTATGTCAATACACATTGTTCTCTGTACTCAGTAGAAGTTAGAGGATGGATTTCATTATAGTGGGCAAGTTTGTGATAGTATAAAAGGGTTCTGTTTTAGAGTCCTAGTCAAGCTGCACATTTTTCTCAGTCCAGTTTTGAATCCCAAGCCAGGTTGCACATTTTCTCAGTCCTGTTTGAGTCCCAAGTCAGGCTTCACATTTTTTGTCAGTCCTGTTTCAAGTCCCAGTCAGGCTTCACATTTTCTCAGTCCTGTTTTGAGTCCCAGTCAGGCTGCACATTTTTCTTAGTCCGGTTTAGAGTCCATGTCAGGCTTCAAATTTTCTTAGTCCTGTTTTGTGTCTGAGTCAGGTTGCACATTTTTCTCAGTTTTATTTTGAGTCCAAGTCAGGCGTCACATTTTTTTCAGTCCTGTTTTGAGTCGCAGTGAGGAAGTACATTTTTCTCAGTCCTGTTTTGAGTCCAAGTCAGGCTTCACATTTTTTTCAGTCCTGTTTTGAGTCACAGTCAGGAAGTACTTTTTTCTCAGTTCTGTTTTGAGTCGATATCAGGCTGCACATTATTAGCTCACCTGTCACAAAGTGACATGGTGAGCTTTTGTGATCGCTTTTCGTCCGGCATCCGGCCGTCTATCTGAAATAAGCTTGTCCGCCCTTAACAGGTCAATCTACTGGTGGGATTTCAACCAAACTTTACAGGAGTGATCAGTACCATCCATAGTTGTGCTCATCATTGGCACATTCTGCTTTGCTGCACAAAATAACCACCAGAGCTAAAAATAGAATATTCTTGTCAGGCCTTCACAGGCCAAACTTCTGGTGGGATTTCAGTTTAACTTTACAGGAGTGTTCAGTACCATCCCTAGTTGTACATGTACACATTACCGGCACATTCCATTTCACTGCACAAAATAGCTGCCAAAACTAAAAATAGAAAATATTGTCTGATATTTACTGGTCTACCTACTGGTGGGATTTTAATGAAACTACACATGAGTGATCATACATAGTTTTGGGAGACATATGTTTTTGTGACAAAAACCCTTCTAGTGTTTAAATAAATCTATAAATTAAATGTCAACTAACACCGGTTATCAATTACTCTAACCTGTTTTATGCTAAAAAAACGACCGAACCCTTGTAAATGGATAAACGTTACACCCCTAATCTTCATGTTGATTGTTGTATGGACTAGCTTATTATCAGTGTAATGCTTACATTAAGCACAACTATATGCTTGTGTAACACATGTCAAAATGGGGGTCAGTGCATAACCTGTGTCTGAAATGTAACTTCTACATGCATAGAGGGATTTTAATAAAGCTCAGGAAAAAATGTTCTCCATAATAAGGCGGAGTGTCATGCGAAAAAATTCAGGTGTCTATAGCAAAGGTCAAGGTCACACTTATGGGTCAAATGTCAATTAGCAAATTAAAACATTCATTTGTGAGTATAATATACATCTTTATACATGCATGGATTCAAATATAATATAGCACAAATGTTCTCCATGTTAAGTTGAGTTGTGTTGCACAAAATGTAGGCCAAAGTCACAAGATGTATTGGCTATGTATCTTACTAATGCTTTGAAGTATTATGCTTAGTGGTCAGAGGATATCTTTTGAGCCCTCTTGCGTTTGTTGCTTGTGTGTGTGTGCCTGCATCTGAACTTGTCAATGCCATAACTTCTTTGTGCATAGAGTAATTTTTGATTAACATGAATAGATTTTTTAGGAACAAATCTTCATCATGAGACTTTGTATCATGCACATGAACCTGTTCACAGGGTCAGAGGTCAAGGTCACCTAAGATGAATTTTTTTTTGGTATATGAAGAGGAAATTTTGCGCACATCTCACCTTTTGTATACATCTTTCTCCTAGATCTGAAGCTAATAGCCTCAAGATTAAATTAAGACAAGCGGGCTCGACATTCTGCCTGTGGGCATATAGTCAAAAAGCTTTAAACATCTCTATATTTCAAAATTAAATTTAAAAAAAAACAATGGAAGTGTATCATTTGGATATTGTTAATTTGTTATGAAATATTTCTCTTATTTAACTTGACTCCTATAACCTATGTATAAGTATGTACATATTTCACTGTGAGAACAAATGAAGTTGAGACCAAAGAGTCCAAAAGGCACAATTCTAGTTATTTCTATGTAGATTGGGGGTATAGAGAACAACTCAATATCCAGGGTTAAAATTATATTGACAAATAAAAAAGTATTAAAATGAATTACATAAATAGATAAATTACAAAATGAAATTTCTCAACATTTTATATTATAAACAATTCAAAGTAAATTAATTTGAAGTATTTCTTTTGAAGTTGACAAAATTCTCTTACCTTTCAAGCAATTCAAAGTAAATTAATTTGAAGTATTTCTTTTGAAGTTGACAAAAAATATCTTACAATTTCAAACAATTCAAAGTAAATTAATTTGAAGTAATTCTTTGAAGTTGACAAAAAAATATCTTACCATTTCAAACAATTCAAATTAAATTAATTTGAAGTATTTCTTTTGAAGTTGACAAAAAATATCATACCATTTCAAACAATTCAAAGTAAATTAATTTGAATTAATTTACTTTGAAGTTGACAAAAAAATATCTTACCATTTCAAACAATTCAAAAGTAAATTAATTTGAAGTAATTCTTTTGAAGTTGACAAAAAATATCTTACCATTTCAAACAATTCAAAGTTAATTAATTTGAAGTAATTCTTTTGAAGTTGACAAAAAATATCTTACCATTTCAAACAATTCAATGTAAATTAATTTGAAGTAATTCTTTTGAAGTTGACAAAAAATATCTTACCATTTCAAACAATTCAATGTAAATTAATTTGAAGTAATTCTTTTGAAGTTGACAAAAAATATCCTACCAGGTACAGCTGGCTGAGTTTCTCAAACAAGTTTAACAAAAAGAAAACATTAACATATTATGTTTTTGTTACATAAATTACATTCAGCAATTATTTTAAAAATTAATCAGTTGACTGTTCTTTAAAGAACATGATATTTCAATTAAGTTCTTAATTTGACTATTTTTGTAAAGAAAAAAAAAGATTTTTAATGTAATAACAATGATAATAATACCAAATGTATGTATTCACCCCAAATATACAAGACAATTATTGAACAATACTTGACACAACATATGACAGTTCACTGAACAATAACAACTTACAACATAAACAAGATGATACCCATTCTATAAATGATGAATGTATATCTGAATGATTGAATGGAAATGAACTACATTGTATGATTCACTACAGTGATAACTATGGTGCTTTTCTATAGTGCTATATACATGTATAAACATAGTGCATGTGGGGAATTTCATTTTCATTAAAAAGTTGTATTATTATTATTGTTTGAAACTATTGTGTGAAATATTTTAATTCAATGAAATTACAGAAGCAATAGATATTTCAATTGAATATGGAATTTAAATTTTTTGTATTAAAGGGACCGTAAAATCCCAATTTAAAGCCCTCCGGGGCGTAACATTTTTCAAAAGGGGGGCGTTCAATAAAGATATAAAAAAGATTTAAAAAAAAAGAGAAAGAAATTCTCAAAAAATTCTCAAAAAAAAAAAGAATTCTCTTCGAACGATTTAAAAAAAACCCCACAAACACATCATCACCCTGTCAACTCGTGATACCTTTGATGTACACCACGGGCTCTCCCAAAAATTCCCCTACATCCTGCTTGCAGCTGACACCTTTGATTTTGCCGACAATCTGACGTAATCAATGCTACTTTTCTAATTTACAACTGTTTATGTTTTATTATGTCTGCATTGATTACCATTGCTTGGTTCTACATCATTTTATACATTTTGATAATATTGTTTCTCTCTGCTTTGTAGCTGTTTGTACTTAGATAAAGTGTACTGGTTTCAGCACACCAACATACAGCATAAGGATTCTCTACATTCTCCAGTACAGTTGTTGTGTCTTTACAGTCACCACTTACTATATATATACATTCAGCCCTGTAATCACTCACAAAGAGGGACCCATCATCTAACAGTGAAATACCCCTTGGTCTTTCAATGTCTACATTCCTTCCTATCATTTCTCCCTGCCAATTAAACCATATAACTTGATCTGTGCCTATATCAGATACATAGATTGAATGGCTGTTTGTGGTGACATACCTTGGGCTATTGAAAATATTGTCACCATTGGAATCTTTCTCAACTGTAATTTTAATATTACCTTTTAAGTCCATGATTTGGAGTTTACCAGGATATTTAAATGTAACTGCAAGTTTCCCCTGATGATGGCTTATTCCACGGCAGTCTCCATCTACTTTCAGTTTGTTTTTCAATGCGAGAGAGTTTGAGGAGAAGGAAATGAACTGTATTGTTTTAATGTTTATTAATGTAACAGCAAGTGTATCTCTGGTCACTATGGTGATATCCCAGGGGTCTGATTCAAGCTGTAGTTGTTTGATTGCATCAGTTTTTATGTCAATCATTTTAATTGAGGAATTACTGTTATCTGCTACAAATAATTGGTTCTGAGGAGAGGCAGCTTTACCAGAAATGTAGCAATCATTTTTATCTGAGGATGTTTTAACAATGATGTTTATAGGGGTAGACATTTTCATTGGTACAGCAGTTTTATTCATTGGTTGAGCTGGTTGCATCCGTTCTCCTTTTCTCAATGTTCCTAATGATTTCTCATTCTGAAGGAGTTTTTTGATAGCATGATTGGATTCAAAATTGTATTCATCAACATCATTGGTTGTTGGTAGTTGTTTTGTTATATTTTCATTGTGTAATATCAGTTGCTGAACTATTTTCAATTCAGCAAACAGTTGGTCAGTTTTCTTGTTGGTGTTGAGATGTTTTAGAGTATCAGTTGATGCTTGGAGTGATTTGTTGATGTCATTACAAACTGTTTCTGTTGTTTTCAACTTTTTGTTGTTGTCATGTTCAATTGTTGAAGCAATATCCTTTACTTCTTTTTCTAGTTCATCTAATCTCTTGTTTATCTCTTTTCTAAAGTTTTCTATTTCTACTATAGCATCTTCAAGAGAAGTTTTTGATTTAGCAACTCTTTTTTTCATATCTTTTGTAATCTGGCAACATTTGTCTGTCAGTTTGTCAATATCTTTTAGAGTTTCTTTGTACTCCATGCTGTCTAAAATCTGTTCTGAAATATCAGGTATGTAGTCTACATTGCAGGATGTTGTTGGGTGTTCAAGGATCACACAAACGCTGCATATAAGTGTATTATGGTCATGACAGTAGAACTTGATCACTTCTTTGGTATGTTTGGTACAAGGCTTGGATAAATCACCATTTTTTTTACCTGAAGTAGATTTTATTGACTTACTGAGGTTTTGTTTATGTGGCATGTGATCTTTGTCTAGAAGTTGGTGATGGCATAATGATTTTGGTCGCCTGTGAGTGTTAAAGCAAGTTTGACATAAATGTACCTCACAATCCACACAGTAACCAAAGGCAGGTAGTCTGATGTCATCTCTGTCACATTGTACACAGAATATGTCAAAATCTTCAGCACCACCTCGAGATAGTGAAGATGACAGTTTCTGCGATGCCATAATGTAACCTAGAATAGAAAATAGTAGATTCTAGAAGTGTTCGACAGTGGCTTTATGTTCTTAACAAATAAAGAAACTTGAAAGAATTTTCTGTCTAATTCTTGCTGTAAATTCATTTAATTTTGTGGACATGAAAGTGTGTGTTTGTTTTTTTTTTAACTTAACAAAATGACTTTTCTAACAGTTTTGTTCTAAATGTCATCATTGTATTTTGTGAAAAGCTATTTAAGCTGAGGATACCAATTCCCTAAAAAGAAACCAATATTATACTATACCGGTAAGCTGCTGAATTTTTCAAAATGGACTTGTCTAGCTTCCATTTTGGAAGTTGTCCATTATCAATATTGGGGGTATCAAGATTTAAAAAAAGGTCAGTTTTAGCCCAGTAGCAAAAGCTGATTGTTTCAGCTCTGGTAAAATTGGACCATTTTAAGGGCTTCTGTGACTTTTAAAGGGTAGACACATCGCTGTTGACACACCAAACCCAACAAAGTAAAAAATAATCCAGTTTGAGTTGTTGGTGGGGCACAGAAAATGTCTCTCAAGGTTATTTATGTTAAATCATTTTAGAATAATATATTATAAGTACATAGTAAACTTTATTAAAGTTTTAAACATATATATTGAGTAAATTTACTCACCAGTGATTTATACTTCTCATTAGGTTATTGAAAAAAAAGTCTTGGTAGGCTCCTGATCTGACAAGTCAATTTCCGTATCTTCCATGGTTTGTATTGCCTATCCATGGTTTGTAAAGATCGATTTATGAAATATTATGTATCATGTTACACCCACAATAGAAATTCAATATATTACATTTAAAGCCGTAGTTTAAGTCTACTTTGTTCTACTTTTTTTCTGGTATTCAGGTTTAATAAATATATTTATTGTTTAAACAAATGAATAAAAATGCCTGCTTGTAAGAAATACAATTGAAATCTTATTGCATTAAAACAGTCATTTGGAAGAAACCCCTATGATATAGCTGATTTAAAACATTATTTATGTATCTTTGGGTTGGTTTATAAATGATTTCTATAAAATGGAAATATCAGAATATGTTTGTATAGTATAAATGGGACAATTTTAAATGACATTTAAAAAGAACGTTTATCTTGATTTTTTGTGTTTGGCTGTTTTGGCTGTTATCAAGTTAGTTAGATGCATAAAAGAAAGAGGTTAAACAATTTAAACAGCTCAAAAGGAGTGACCTATTAGCAACTGTATCAATCAAAAACATATTTTTTTCTTCTTATTAACGTCTCATTAACTAAGTTGTTGACATACATTCCATTGGTATGTGTAGTGAGATTTATCCAGAAAAACTTAACGTTTATTGATAAACAGATTCTCCATTCAGTTCTTGCTTTTTATATGCCCGAAATAATTTTGGGCATATTATGTTATATCCCCTGGCGTTCGTCCGTAAACTTTTACTTTCAACGACATCTCCTCATAAACCGCTAAGCGAATTTCATCCAAACTTCACAGGAATGTTCCTTTGGTAGTCAACTTTAATAAGTGTTCAAAGAATTTAATTCCAAGCAGAACTCTGGTTGCCATGGCAACCGAAAGAAAAAAGCTAAAAATATCTTTTTTTAGAAAACCAAAAGAGCTAGAGCTTAAATATTTGGCATGAAACATCATCTAGTCAGTGTCTACCAAGCTTGTTCAAATAAATGCCCTGGGGTCGAAATTGGCCCCGCATGCATGGGGGGGGGGGGGTCCATTGATTTTCCTTATTTATATATAGTAAAAACTTAAAAAATCTTCTTTTAAAGAAACCCAAATAGCTAGAGCTTAGCTATTAAGCATGAAACATCTTCCAGTGGGTGTCTACAAAGTTTGTACAAATAAAAGCCCTGGGGTCAAAATTGGCCCCGCCCCAGGGGGTCATTGTTTTTCCCTATATGTATATAGTAAAAACATAAAAAAATTCTTCTTTTAAAATACCTTTAGAGCTAGAGCTAAGATATTTAGCATGAAACATCTACTAATGGGTGTCTACCATTTTTGTTCAAATAAGGGCCCTGGGGTTAAAATTGGCCCCGCCCCGGGGATCATTGATTTTCCTTATATGTATATAGTAAATACTTAAAAATCTTCTGTTAAAAAACCCAAAGAGCTAGAGTTTAGAAATTAAGTGAGTTACAAAATAACCACAGTTTTCAGTCATGCACAGACAGTGGTTTTGTGTGTCGGCTGTAGTACAGTCTTATGTCAGCCTACAGGAGGAAAGGCCAGGCTCACAGAAGGCTGTTCATTCAGACGAAAGCAACACTAAACAGACAATGAAGAAAGAGTGAGTGTCTACCAAGTTTGTTCAAATAAAAGCCCTTGGGACAAAATTGGCCCCGCCCAGAGGTGGGGGATGTTATTGTTTTTCCCTATATGTGTATAGTAAAACCTTAAAAATTTTTCTAAGAGCTAGAGCTTAGATATTTATCATGAAACATCTTCAAATGGGTGTCTACCAAGATGTTCAAATAAAAGCCCCTGGGTTAAAATTGGCCCCTCCCCAGGGGCCTATATACAGATGAGCGATTTCAGGACCATCATGGCCCTCTTGTTCTCAGTCCTATTTTGTGTCCAAGTCAGGCGTCACATTTTTTTCAGTCCTGTTTTGAGTCACAGTCAGGTAGTTCATTTTTCTCTGTCTGGTTTTGAGTCCATGTCAGGCTGCAAATTTTTCTCAGTTTTATTTTGAGTCCAAGTCAGGCGTCACATTTTTTTTCAGTCCTGTTTTGAGTCACAGTCAGTTAGTACATTTTTCTCAGCCCTGTTTTGAGTCCCAGTTTGCCTTCACATTTTACTCAGTCCTGTTTTGAGTCCCAGTCAGCCTTCACATTTTTTTCAGTCCTGTTTTGAGACCCAGTCAGCCTTCACATTTTTCTCAGCCCTGTTTTGAGTCTCAGTCAGCCTTCACATTTTTCTCAGTCCTGTTTTGAGTCACAGTCAGGCTTCACATTTTTCTCAGTCCTGTTTTGAGACCCAGTCAGCCTTCACATTTTTCTCAGTCTGTTTTGAGTCACAGTCAGGCTTCACATTTTTCTCAGTCCTGTTTTGAGACCCAGTCAGCCTTCACATTTTTCTCAGTCCTGTTTTGAGTCCCAGTCAGGAAGTACATTTTTCTAAGTCCTGTTTTGAGTCTCAGTCAGGCTTCACATTTTTCAAAATTCTTTTTTGAGTCCAAGTCAGGCTTCACATTTTTCTCAGTCCTGTTTTGAGTCCCAGTCAGGCTTCACATTTTTCTCAGTCCTGTTTTGAGTCTCAGTCAGGCTTCACATTTTTCTCAGTCCTGTTTTGAGTCTCAGTCAGGCTTCACATTTTTCTCAGTCCTTTTTTGAGTCTCAGTCAGGCTTCACATTTTTCTCAGTCCTGTTTTGAGTCCCAGTCAGGCTTCACATTTTTCTCAGTCCTGTTTTGAGACCCAGTCAGCCTTCACATTTTTCTCAGTCCTGTTTTGAGTCCCAGTCAGGCTTCACATTTTACTCAGTCCTGTTTTGAGTCTCAGTCAGCCTTCACATTTTTCTCAGTCCTGTTTTGAGTCCCAGTCAGGCTTCACATTTTACTCAGTCCTGTTTTGAGACCCAGTCAGCCTTCACATTTTTCTCAGTCCTGTTTTGAGACCCAGTCAGCTTTCACATTTTACTCAGTCCTGTTTTGAGTCTCAGTCAGCCTTCACATTTTTCTCAGTCGTGTATTGTGTCCCAATCATACGTCCTCAAACATCTCATATAATATCTGTAATGAAACATACTTGAATTACAGGTTATGCCATTTTTATAGTTAAAAAAAGATAATGATAAAGTTTTTATTTTGTGCAAATTATAGATATTGCATCTTTATTCTTAACTTTATTATGTATGAATTCTTGCCATTTTTGTATAAATGATTTGTTGGATATATATATGATATATTTCAGTATTTGTTGAGAAATAGAGCACCTAGTCACAGTTTACCATTCCCACACCTGAATGGTTTTAATAATACATCTAGCATGAGACTGTCTGTACTGAAAAATACTTTCAATCAACTTAAAGATGCTGGTAAGTCTATATAGAAATCTAAAAAATTCACAAATCTATTTGTTAGGACACACATGGATTATGACAAGGTTCATAAGTCTGGCACCCATATTTCAAAAAATTATCTTACATTTGATCTGAAAATTTTGCTTCAAAATTGTTATTAATTACTTAACTTGCTTATTTCCCCCAAAGAGATTTACTTTAAGCTTCAAATATATGTCCTCTTTCAACACTGAGATAGTATTAAAATCATAAAAGCTTTCTAACTGAATGCTACTGTTTCACTGTGCAAGAAACTTTAAACTCATTGTTCAGTACTGGATGTTTCAGAAATGTATTTGAGAGTGTGTTTGTAAACTAAAAGCTACCTACACAATCAAACTGAAATAAGTTCTGTATAAACCAACTGAATGATATGAGCCGCGCCATGACAAAACCAACATAATGGGTTTGCGACCAGCATGGATCCAGACCAGCCTGCACATCCGCGCAGTCTGATCAGGATCCATGCTGTTCACTATCAGTTTCTCTACTTGTAATAGAGTTGGTAAGCGAACAGCATGGATCCTGATCAGACTGCACGGATGCGCAGGCTGGTCTGGATCCATGCTGGTCGCAAACGCACTAAGTTGGTTTTGTCATGACATGGCTCAAATAAGTTCAGTATAAACCAACTGAATGATATCATTTGTATTATATAAGTACATATTAATAATGCAAAAAAATCAAGACAACTGATTCTACTAGAGGTAACATCAACATGACAAATGGCATACATAGATTTAAATAAAGATCAAAATGATACTGTAGTTTTTACAATAAAATTACTTTTTTGAATGCAGAAAAGTTTTGATAAAACCCAATATATTTACATGTAAGATAATAAGGGAAAGGGAGGTAATAAAATGCAAAGAAAAATTAGCCTTAATGCAAAAATTATTTAAAAAAATGAAATATTGAATAACCGTTGAATACTTGTAAAATTTCAGCACGAGGCGAGCTAGCAGAAACATCTCTGTCTGATGGAGAGGAAGTGAAGCTGTTAAACCCATGCTTCAGTTCTATTGAAGTCACCTCAAATAACTCTGATGCTCACAGGTTTGTAGTTTAGAATCATACTGCTCTGCTTGAAAAAAACAAACACACACAGCACAGCCATCCAGCTAAGTCACTGTATTGTTTTTTAGTTGGATAAATATAATGATAAAATATTTATTTACATTTTAAAAATATATTGCCTTTTAAGGGTTGAGCAATTAGTATTGCAGTCACCGTTAATCTGTGCATGATCGTAAGAGGCAACTTAATGTGTTTAAATTACAGGAGTCTATGCATCTCTTAGCTCTGGCAGGTGAGGCGGTTTTGACCCCTGGTGTTGCTTTGTTACACCAGAGGTTAACCAAAATCACCTTCCCTGTTTCGGCGCCATATGACCTAAATTATGTTGGTGTGCTGTAAAACCAAACACAACAAACTGATAAGTGGTATATGTGTCGGTGCTTAATATCTTTGGTGAATATTTCCTAACAGATCGGAAACTTTCAACTCAAACATGTAAAGACATTTTGTTTCTCACTGTGTGTATATAATACATGTAATACAACCCTGATGATGGTCATAATAAGCCAAAAGTACCTAGATATTTTATACACTAGCACTGTATGAAGGGTTATTATCTCTCATTCTATTGTAAACAATATATATGTTCTTTTACCCTTTTTGAAGGGCATTATAATATGTATAAATATAATGACATATAATATTTTTGTTGGTATTTTTGTATATACAGATTGACAAATGGTTTAACACATACATTCTGGCAATCAGATGGAGCTGCCAGGTCACATTTCATCAGGTGATACTTTAACTGTTTTAGTACTTACTTTATTATTAAATGGGCCTGTTTGGCCATGGCTAAGTACATGTAACTAAAATTTTAATTGACTTCAAATCACCTAATTTAAAATATTTCTGCATCAATTAGTGTTAAAATAATTTTACAAATCATTTTTAAAGATTTTAAAATTTTTATTTTGAAAAAGAAATTAGATCTCAGTTTAGAAGAATTTTTGAATTACAATGTATATGTTAATGGCATAAACTATGAGTGATTGTAATTAATTAAAAGAAATGTGATTAAATAATGTGTATTATATTTTTTGTTTTGGTAGACTTCACTTTAGGAACAATGTTGTTGTAAAGCTTCTATCTATGAATGTTGCGTCAGCTGACTCGAGCTATATGCCGGAGCACGTGACAATTACGGCGGGGAGAAACGCTCACAGTCTACGTGAGATCAAGGATATCAGAATACCTAGCAGCCTTACTGGAGATGTTGTCTTACTGAAAAATGCTAAATGTCACTACCCAAGTAAGTAATGCCATGATCCAGTATAGTAATGTCACTATCTAAGCTTGTGATGTAGAAATGTCACTTTCCTAGTCTTTGATGCCACTTTCTATTTCAGTAATGCCACTCTCCAAGATTGTAATGCAACTGTTGGTCATTCACCATTATAACTGTCTTTTAAAATCTTTTGAAATATATAGTCAATTCAGCTCAACTTGATAATGAAAAAAATGAGCGATATGTCAATTTAAGGTTAAATGTCTCTACTTTCAGTTATACAAATTAATATCAAGAGGTGTAGGAATGATGGCTGTGACACTAGAATTCATGGGATAAAGGCAATCGGATACAAGTTAGTGAACAACATTTATTAGTCACCCTTTCTTTATATCAATTGATTTTCTTCTTCCTCAGGATGTTGAATATTAAATCTGAGAAAACCAGATTGACTTTTAGCTGAAATTACCTTTAGTTATTAAATATTTATATAAATGATATACAGTAAAAAGCTAAAAGTATCCGTTTATAACAATATAAATTTCGCGGTCCTCTGAATATCGTTATAAGTAGAGTTTACTGTATTCATATAATTATTTTAGCTCTCTTATTTCTGTCATGTTTGACTGTTGTTTGTTAATATTACTAGGGTAGTAAAGGAGTCGGGTATCAGTGTATCAGACTCGGCAGCTGTCTGGTTTCTACAAGTTCTTGCCTCCACGGTAACAGCTTCAATACCACTGGCCCCAGCATTACAGAAAAATATCATAGAACATTCAAAGTAAGTACACCCTCATCTCTATCTTTATAATTGTAATCAATCTAGCAATGGCTTTTACACACTGACTGGATACATGATTTGGCTCACTATATGGACAAAAGCTTAAAGACTCAAAATCAACCTAGTATTAACACTTTATTTAGGTTTGACAATTTTATGTTAACAATCAGTGTTGGGCTTGGTATGGCAAGTAATGTGTCAGTATGCCATTAAACCCAAACAATCATCCTGTCCAAACTTTGAGTATGAATGAACAGAAGATATTTAGCTTGCATCAAGAAGTTAAACTTTCTACATTGTGCACCTCAGTGCCTGAAATGATATATGTTGGTGCAAAGTGAAAAAGATAAAATGTTTATCAAAAAATACATCATGTGTTGATGTTCTTATCTATCTTTTTCTTGTATATTTAGTTAAAACAGTATTTTATATACCAGTATGATGCATTTCACAGATCGAGTTAGAAGATTTACAAACTTAAAAAAACAACAACAAAAAAAACCCCACTTTTTTGCGCCTATTTCTGATTTGATCATAAAAAAAGTAACATGGTTGTTTTGTATATGAGGGCTGTCCAACAAAAGGGTTGACAATAGCTGTAAAACAAATTAATTAATGCGCGAGCCTAAAATTAGTTTGAAAGCGTATCTGCATCATAATAAAGTAAAATAAGAAATATTAAGTATACATACACAAAATGTTAAAGCATTGATTCTGGCCTGAGGTTTGTGTTTGCAGTCCATACCAAAAATTGTCATTTTAAAAACCTAACACATAAAGTTTTAAACAGAGTAAGCAGTCAATAATGTGAGAAATCTGCCTTATGTTAAGGCATTGACATGTACTGTCTGTCTCAGGCTATATATGGCAAAACTGCATGACATATGTATACAGTGCATTTCTTACTTCATACAATGCTTCAATGTATAAGCACAATGAAAATGGCACTGTTTGACACTGATGCAGCCCAACAGTTTGCAGTATCTCAGAAATTTTGGACTGTGTACTGAGAATTTCAAAAGACACAGATATGATACTTTGACAGGGAATAGTAATGTCACATAAGGTACATACGGCGCTGGGACGGCGTTTGCCACATTGTGCTACAATCTTATCTTATAATTTGTTTGTGTAATTAAATTAAATGATATCATGCTACTGTATGTTCACTCAGTGATGGTGTATGAAATATCAGTATTTTTTTCAAGAAGGCTGTTGAGTATTTTGCATTTAAACACTGCTGTCCATGACTTATTGGGACAGCCCTCGTATTTGTTAAAATCTCAAAAATACATTTTGTATAAACTAAGTGTGTTATTGTAAATATTTATATTTCAGAAATGCACTTGAGCATATTCCACCAATGACCCTAAGTCCAGCTTGTAGTGATAAACCACCTTTCCTGACTAAACTTGTTCTGCAAGAAGTAGAAAAATTTATTACAGATGTAGCTGTGTAAGTAATACCTTATATTTGAATCACATTATTATTGAAATATTTACCTTATCCAGGACAATGCAAATCTTTTAATTTTTGCTTTGAAGTTAGGGGATGAACTCACCTCAAAATCAGTATAATAACATAAGAATTTATTTTGTCGACTTGTGCAACTTTCTACCTCCTTACACTACCTTAAAATAATATCTAACTTTTAACCTGCAAAATTTCTGTAATGAATATTTTTTTGATTTGGAACATTCCATTCAATGTTTAAGGGATTTAAATATCAAAGTACAAAAAATTTAAGCTATCAAGTTACCTACACAAGCACTAAGCATGTACCAATAAATATATAGCATCATCTAACCTTTCTTGTCTTTTTGTTAATTATTGTTCCTGGTCCCAAGCACAGGCTAGTGCTAGTAGTATATTTACACAAGCACTAAGCATGTACCAAGAAATAGGTAGCATCACCTCTTCTTCCTGTCTTTATGTTAATTATTTGCTACTGGTCCCAAGCACAGGCTAGTACTAGTAGTATATTTACACAAGCACAAAACATGTACCAAAAATTAGGTAGCATCACCTCTTCTTCCTGTCTTGATGTTGATTATTTACTACTGGTCCCAATCACAGGCTGGTGCTTGTAGTATATTTACACAAGCACCAAGCATGTACCAAGAAATAGGTAGCATCATCACTTCATCCTGTCTTTATGTTGATTATTTGCTGCTGGTCCCAAGCACAGGCTAGTGCTAGTAGAATATTTACACAAGCACTTAGCATTGTACCAAGAAATAGGTAGCAACATCTCTTCTTCCTGTCTTCATCTTGATTTTTGCCCC